CGGATGATGGGGGACCCGATTACGCCTCCTTTTCGGGCCAGAGCCAATTTGACGCTTTTGACGGTTTGTCGAAGCAAATCAGGCCCTGGAATCCTCCGCGCCTTCTTTTTCGAGGTTGCTTTTGGCACTTGACGCTTTTGACGGTTTTAGCCTGCCGAGCGTCCCCTGCCATCGAAGCCTCCAGCCTGCAGAGCCGCGCAGTCCGCTGCCGCGCGAACTCGGAGGAGAGTGCCGGAGGAGTGTGCCGGGGGAGTGTGCCGGAGGAGTATGCCGGGGGAGTGTGCCGGTGTGCCTGGAGAGTTGAGGATTCGGGGGGCGTGTGCCGGGGAGTGCACTTGGAGAAAAGTGCCTGCTCTGCGTGGGGGGGAGGAGGAGAGTGCCTGCTGGGAGTGTGCCCAGACGGGGGAGTGTGTGTGCCTGAGTGCCCTGCCAAGGGGAGTGTAGTGGCTCTGCCGGGGGCTGTGCCCAAGTGTGCCGAGGGAGTGTGTCGGGAGTGTGCCTGGGGGGGGAGTGTGTTGAGGAAGTGTGCCGGGATTCTTCCTGTTTGGGCCAGGAGCAGGATCGCCGTGTGATTTTGAGGTTTTTTAAGGGTTTTGTCCATCTTGCGTTCGCTGAAGCTCGGGCAGGCACTTTCATGAAAATGAAAATGCAACTGCTCTGAGCCATTTGCAGAAAATATGGGGCGCCGAAACTGTTGGAATTTGATTTAATGTTTTCCAAGCCCGGTCTCCAGAGGGCGGTGCGCGAATTGCAGAAATCGAAAAACGGCTTTCGCAGGACTTGTAAGAACAAAACCAGTGCGCGAAGAAGTCGCAGCGGGGAGTTGCATTGCAGATTGAAAACGCTTTGTGTATGTTGTCCTTCCTCGGCTCTATACCTCGGTGTTTCTTCTTGCTTTGCGGTTTGCTTGTGGGCTCCTCTTTTTCAATCTTTTCCGGTCTGCGCTTTGGCGCTGTCCTGGGGCCATGGCGGGTGGAGTGCATCGGCCGTTAGTGTATGTGTCGGGCTGTTTGATGTCTGAGTGACATTGCAACAGATTCTGAGGTTTTGAGTTTCATGGTAAATCAATGCATTGGAGAAAGCAATGTCCAACCTGCAATGGCTCATCAACTGTCAAGACACATTATCCTCTCCTTATGCAAGATTTGAATAATTATTTTTTTTGGCTTGCTTTTTAATCGCGCAATTGTGCATGAACCTCAAAAGACACATTCACCTACCTTATCATTTCCCGATACCATCAGAGCAATAAGCAACACATTCACGTGAGTTGGGGGAAAGATCCTCATAGCATGGTGCCAATGACATTGTGATGGTGGCGTCTCATCAAGCTAGCCGAGGCTTGTTCTCAGCTTTCAGTTGAAGTGCAGTGGCATGTTTTCTGAAATCAAGGGTGTGTTCGAACCAGGCGCTGCGTTCGGTGCTCCTGTGTTGGACACATGGGGCCAGGAGCTTATCACAATTTGATTTGGTCGTTTACACGTACAGCCACTGCTCAGGTTCCTTCACCAGCCCATGTGATGGCGTGGTTTGGGATAGCGCTGGGCTTGGCTGCTGGAGCGGCCCATTGCACATTGGGCTGTCAATGACGTACATTGAAGAAGTCATGCAGGTGCATTGCGCGGTTGGACGGCATATCCAATTGGCGATGATCGGCGCGATACTCAAAGATGCAATGCCTGGAATTGTTGGATTCATGGTTCATGAAGATGCTTGTGTTTGTCCACGGTGAGCCAAGTAGGCTGCAGCCGGAGCTTTTCTCTCCCGCGGAGCTAGGCCGGAGCTCGTTTTGGGAACCTGCGGTCTTGGAAGCGTTCTCCAAGGCATGGAAGGCGCCAAGCTCGCGGCCGTGCGCCGGAGAAGGCGCCCGGCCAATTGCAGTCTCGAGGGTTTGCAACGCAGGTTTTGTTGCCAAACTTGTGGACCAACAGTCTGGAATTTCCCCATTCTTGTGGTTCTTGTGTGAATTCCCGTATTTGCATCGCCCGTTTCTGATTTCCTCAATGTTTGTTCTCCAGTACAACTGCATCTTTCTTCATCTCTTGCAGCTCTTTGCGAGTCGCTCCAGGGAGATGGAGGCCAAGTGCGCGCCAGGCGGAGCTGGACTTGAGTCGTGGGTTTTCGAGTGCTTGGAACCAGGCGTAAGGGTGGAACAGTCTGCGAAGGTTCGATTTCAGACGTCGAATCTTCAAGACTTAAACCTTCCGAAGCAAGCTTTGCAAAGTGTTGGAATGGATGCGTGGTGCAGTCCTTTGCCCACTATGTCTTTGATTTTTGGTGTGCGTTTTGATGGCGGTTTGTCCCAAAGCTTTTGGAGGTTAGCGGACATTTGGCCCCCAATCTCCCGGCAGTTCTGAGGCAACACTTCGGCTGTGCGGCCCTGAGAGAATCCTTGGCTTTGCGCTTCAACTGCCAGAATCAGACGTCCAGTCGCCAGGCTGGTCCGGACTCAGGCCCGTGTGGCACCCCAGCTCCCGGTGGCAAGGGGCACGTGGCAAATGGAGGGAGGCCTTGTTCATCCGGCGAGGGACATGGCAGTGACTACACAGTCCTGGCTTGACTTAGCATCAAATGACTTGAGTCTTAGGCGGGAAGCTGCTGGAGACTGAGATATCCTCTACCAACAAAGGTTGCACCTGGGCAGGTGTCTCTGGGTTTTGTCTCAGAACAGATTTTGCTGTACACGATATGTGGTTCCCAGGGTCTAAAGTGTGGCTCCCATCTCAAGCCATCACTTGGCAGAAGCATGGGATCTCGACATCCTGGTTCCTAAGTCGCTCTTTTCAGCCGAAGCGAAGTGCGACTGCCTCAGGCGCGCTCACAGAAGGTGCCGAAGGCCTCCAGGCCGGGGGGGCCTTTGAGCCGGGTGCGGGCTGAAAGTCTTGGCAGACTCGACACATCGAACAAGTCAGGATGCCCGCGAGAAACAGAGAGAGAGAGAGAGAGAGAGCCACAGCCACAGCCACAGCCACAGCCGTGTGGCATGCCAAATCTGCGAACCCAGGAACACGGGCGGGAACGTGAGGGAGAGAGAGAGAGAGAGGTTACCAGCCGAGTCGCGTGATCCAGGTCAGCTTCTCCACCCGTCTCCCATCGGAGGCGCGGCGTGGCTTTAATTCGGTCTCACTGATTCCGGCCCATGACGAAGGTCCGCTACTTGGGGCTTTCCTTATTTCTAGTCTGGGTAGACTTACAGCTGCGGGAAGCTTACTACAAGATACTGTAGGTCTGCTGAATTTCAGGGTGACTGGTATCCCTTTGGTGTCCAAACGTTTCTGATTCAAGCAGTGGGTGGGCAGTCACTTCCAGGCAAATTGGCTCCTTGTCATGACGATCAAGTGTGTGGTTGTGCTCTTGCACAAGCTTCTTAGTTATATTTGCCGCGATGTTGAGCAAGATGGGGAAAGTCATGAAGGCCCATGTGTAAATCATGTCGCCTGACTGCAGGGTTTCCTCGGCGACTTCCAACAGCACGCTCGCTTCTCAGATTCAGAAACCACCGCAAATGTGTTTTATTTCTATTGGTGTGAAGGGAGGGGCACAGGAGCCGCAATACAACCTACAAGTCCGCAGGGACACTCACCACCCCAAGGGTCTTTTGGGTGCAGCCATACACCTTGAGTGAGGAAGACCCCACATGGCCCTGGCACCCAACACTCTCCAGCTTTCACAGTGCGGAATTTGCGCCAAGGAGGCTAAGCCGCTCGGCTTCCCCACAGGCATGCGTCTGGGGTTCTCGCACTCACCGAAGACCGGTGGGGCAGATATGCGCCGTTTGGTTGTGCTCACGTGGCACTTTACTAGGTGAAAGGCACTTGCTTGAGGGAGGTCCTGACAATGAAGTGAAAGGAAGACGATTTTAGCTTCCCCACACGTGGAGCGTCGCAGGTGGAGGGGCGTCGGACCTCATTGGGTAAGCAGCCGCGGCAGGCGCGAGCAGCATTGGCGTTGACCTTGCCAGGATAAAACACGGTCAGAAGGGCTTAGCGTCTCTCAAGTCTCTGACGTCCTGTTGATGAGAACTCAGAAATCATCGCAAATAAAGCAGATCCTTCACTCCAATAATCACAAATATAGTAGATCCTAGAGAAAAGTTTCCCTTCGGCGCTGGCTTCGTGCTTGGCTTTCAGGCAAAGGACTCCTCGCCAAAGTCCGGGAGCCGAGTGCACGAAGTGCGGGCTGAGTGAAGCGAGCGTTCCGAGCGCTTCGCTTGAAGGGCGCTGAAGAGCGCGCCTCCGGCGCCAGGCGCTGGAACGAAGCGGCTTGAATTGTTATGCCTGCAAGAAACTATTGCCAAGCAAAGACGTGGCACAACTTTTTCCCCGGGGCAAGCGTCACAATGCCGATGGGCCTGCAGACACTTTTGATCTTGGAGCCTTGTGCTCAAAGACTTGGCTCGCAGGCAGAGCGATGTCACCGCTGAGTCCCGCTCGGGCCCGAGCTCTTCGCGGCACGTGTGCGGACAATTTCAGGAGTTGCTTCTGGATGAACGGTAGAATTTCGGAAGGACTGTTTCCACACCTCGCTTTTGTCTGTTTGTTTCCCATCCCTGGAAGTGGGCTTGGAGCATCAGACGCGGCCTTGTGACCGGACCCGAGGCGCAATCGCAGCTGACTCGACAACCAGCCAAGGCTGAGCATTTGCTGTGCTTGCATACATTGATGCAATGAGACATGCTGGTCTCTGGAGAATCAACAGAAGCAGCTCCTCAACGATGAACAACATGATGTGGCAAGTCTTTGGGATTGCCTGGCAACACACACTTGGCCTCGCATTCGCCTTGCCCACAAAGGTGCGTGTGGATGTGAGACGCCGGCCAGAGGCGCGCAAGATGTGGCCCAAGGGTTGAGCCTTAGCAATAAGACAGCATCGGGCAAGGATCGTACCCCCAGTGAACATCCCAATTTAACCACTAAAATAGGTTCTACAATGGGTGGTGAGTTCACCTAGCCCAAAATGGTACCGTGGGTTTTGACCCACAGACATATGATTTGCGCCAGGAGAGACTTGTCAAGAATTTGGAGAACCAGAGTTGCTCCACGGAGGCCGGGCCTTGGATGGTTGCTAAACTCGAACTCTTTCAGCCCCCGTTCCAGAATGCAGCTCCCTGCTTGACGTCAGACATGGCTTTTTCTTTGGTGTCTCTTTTGCCCCCCCCTCCCCCCCAAATTCCCGCCCCCCCCCCCCCTGCTACCACTACTGCAGCCACTGAACAGCCGCCACAGCCGCACAAACCCACCGCCACCTCCGCCACGCCGCTTTGCAAGTCCTCAAGTCAGTCCTCAGGTCATGGCGCAGTTTGCGTTGCCTGGACCCCAGAATGACATGGATGACATGGACCTCAGTTTTGATTGGACATGGCATTGGGATGGAGCCATGACGTGCAGTTTTAGTCGCGCTCTCGGATCGCGTGAGAGAAGCCGAGGCTGTGGCAGAAGGTCGAGAAGCTTGAAGAGCAGGCTGTCAGAAGTCACCTGCGCATGGGGAACTTGTCTCGTTGTTTTATGCGGCAAGAGGCTTGTGATTCTTGCGACCCCCCTTGCATCATACCCTTTGCCACCCATCACTTGCGACACTGGATCTATTCCTGGAGCTGCTAGGCCTCAAAATCTCCCCAAGATGGTACCTTCCACTGCCCCCAAACCACGACTCCCATGGCAAATGGATCTTGGGGGTGGTTTGGCGGTAGTGGACACCATAGTTTCGGCCAATCCTGCGACGCAGGCAGAGAAAGAACGCTCAGAGAAGGAGCAGCTCAGGCCAGTTCTTGAGAGGGTAAGCCCGACGTGGCGGAAGACCTCTGAGAGTCTGGATGAATCTCAGGCGCGCCAACGCGATGCTGCAACACCGCTGTGGCCTTTGGCGAAATCGCTCGCGGCTTGCAGTTGGGCTGTTTTGTGCATGACCGACTGATGCAGACTTATGCAAGCTCTTGCTTTTCCCCTTGATGTGTGCAGACGCATTGCTTCGCTCTCCTCAAGTTTCTTCATGGACAAGGAGTCAAACAGTGCCATGTTGTCAGAGGTCAGCACTGCTGCCCCAGTTTTTGTCTGTCTCGGCTAGGCTTGAATGCTCTAAGATCAGGCGAAATCCAAGCTCATCCCATCAGATCTCACTGGTGAGGCAAGAGGCGCTTTAAGCCTTATTCCCGCCAGAAAAGGTGCCCTCAAAAAGCAGAGCCCCTTTTGGCAACTGTATTCCTCCCACTGGTCCCGCGCTATCAGGCCTGGACGTTCTCAGCAGGGACATGACACGCAATGCGCTGGGCCCAGCTGACCGTCAAGCCCAGGAAGCTTCCAGCATTCAGGATGCTAAGGGGGAATGCAGACGAAGGATGGGCTGGAGGATCTGATGCCGGCATAGGACCTAAAGCGAAATGCCCAAACAAAAACAGGGTGCGTTGAAAGCCTAGAGCGACAGAAGCATGGAAATAGAAAGCGAAAGGGACAGAACTTAATCAAGGGAGAAGTATGGTGAAAGAGTAGAAGGCATGAGAGAGTATCGGATGAGAGAGCTAAGTTTTCTTTCAAAGTAGAAATGTTGAGAGTTCAATCCGAGAGTTGACACCTACTACAGCAGGGTTTTGACTTAGGCCTTTTGTAAGCCTTTCGAAGCAAGTAGGTACAATCCTCAGATATCAGTTCTCTGAGGAGCCGCGGCCGGGTGCTGCCAGTGTGCCCTTGGAGGCTTGCCATGGAGCTGCGGAATTTTTGCCGTGAAAGGAGGGTCCATTATCTCCAAAATGTGTACCCGGACCCTCAAACATTAAAGATGGGTAGCCCCTAAAATGATGTCTGCGGGCGCCGATGTCTTCCGCCGCACCTGCGAACTCGCAGGCCGAGGCCATCCGCCCCATCGTGGCGTCCCGGCCTCGACGGGAAAGTCGCCGGGTGGTTCCATCGGGGGGTTCCGCGGGGGCGGTTCCGAGGCCAAGTCCGCCCAAGTCCCTGCGCTCCTTCCGGCAGGCCGCGGGCCAACTTTGGCCGTTTCTGCGAGTTGCACAGAGAAAGAACGCCTCACGCGACAGAAACGAATAGAAGCCATCTGAATAGATGACGCCGTGCTTTGTGTGGAAGGAGATCAACGCTAGCAATGTGTTGTTTTGGCAGCCAGGACACTGTCATGATCAAAGCTATTTGGATTCTTGCAGCCCATCTGGCTCACTTCTCCTTGGGGTGTGCTCTAGCAGCTTTTCATCAAGTTGATTCAAGCCAGATGCTCAGTTGATGAATTGGTGCTTGACAGGGATGGGCAATAGGTCTTCGACACACCTGGGCCTTGTGGAGGCACAAGATCCTGCAGTTGAGATGGATGAAACCCTAGCAAATGGCATATGTCTCACTGACCAAATGGCAGGATTTGGGTCACTTTTTGCCACCGCATTTGCAAGCAGAATCAGCGGTGAGGTCTGTTGGCCACCTCGAGATGCCGCTGGGATTCGATCCCTGATTCGGGCACCGGGTGCATCCGGGTGCTTTGCTGAAGCCCTTGTAACTCTCAACCTCGGCGCGCGTCTTGTTCACCTTGTTCACCTTTTGGCATTTCCGGTCTCCGCAAGTTCAGGCGAGTGCTTCGGGCGATTTGAGGCTTACGGGAGTTCAGGGGCCGTTTTTTCATGTTCAACTGAGCTATAAGGCGTTGCCAGATTCGTGGGGAAAGAATCTCAGGTTTTGCACGGCCTGCTGTGCTTCTCCTGACAAGACTGAGCTTGACCTGACTGGCAAGCCCTTGGTGGAGGCTGGTCGGTGTGATTTTGATTCTCTCACTAGCAAGGCGTGACTCGTTTGAGACCGCAACCTTACCAAGCACCGGTGTTCTGCAGCGCAGCGCCCAGGCTAAGGGTGTCCTGGGCAAGGCCGACCCGCTACTTGGCAGGCAAACCAACAGAAGTTCACTGTGGTGAAACACCGAGTTTCCACGCTTCCCGTGAGAGAACCTTTGATAATGCCCTACTCTGCACTGAGCAAGCGTCCACAGTCGCGCTGTCTGGCTCGCGCTCAGGGATCAAGTGATTCCAGGAGTTTCTTGCCTGCAAATGCCAGAGTCGCTTTTTGAGCGAGAAAGGGAAGAGAGTTGACATTTTTTTCCCAGGCACAGGCGAGGCATGATTCATGAAGTCCTCTTCTCTCTTTTGAATGAATTCTGAATGCTCATTGCCCGAGTGAACATTCATTCTTTTCACCGCATGTTGTCCATTGCGCACGCGGGCAGGGCCCAGAAGGCCAGAGCCTCGCTCAGGAAGCGGACTCCTTCGAGGTGAAGCTTCGCTTCGAGGAGCCTGCAACCACGTCCTTGGTTCATGTTTGGGCTCATGTGGGTATGGGCGTGTCCGTCTTTTTTTGAGGGACCCCCCCAAAACAAAATCGTGGTGGTCCAAAAGGAAACTCAAAAAGGGGGACCACAAAAAAGACACCCCCTCCCAACGCAGTGGTTTCCCTTCATGCGGGTGCGGTCTAAAAATGTGCAAGAGCGTGGAGAACAGCCCGAGTCATTTGCTGGAAGTTGCTCATGACAAAGCCCTGAGTGTTTGCAGCGCTAGGGCCGGTCTCATGGTCTCAACATTGACACTGCCAATGACGAGCAGGCGATTGTGAAGGACTGATGTCGGGTTGGCAGATGACCCGCGCGAACGCCAACTACAAACTGCATGGCCTTTGGACCAGCCGAATCACATCGACTTTCGTAAACAGCACACAGAGCTATGGGAGAACAACGCGGTTCCTTGAACATTCCGCACCATTGTGGGTGAGACACTCGCTTTGGACGTGTTTCTCCTTCTTTAATTGATTGTCCAGTGTCCTGTTAGGATGTGATGTGGTCGGCTTTCTGTTGGTGTCCCTTCGAAACCAACCAAAAAAGCTTTGGCTCCCCCCCAAAAAGACACATCCGACTGGCGTGTTGAGGCTTTCCAGCCCAGCGATTTGCATCTCGTCAGGAAGTGAGCGGAGCGGCGCTGGCTTGGAATCGCAACGCGCCGGAGATGCACCAGATCAAGGCGCGCGAGATGAAAATTTTCGAGGCCTAGCGCTTCACTCTTTTTGCCGTGAGCTCTAACCTGTTCTTGACCTTTTTGACTCTTGGAAAACGTCAGCTTCACGCAGCTGACTGGCCAGCGAGACCTATGCAGAAAGACCAAGAGGGCACAAAGGTAAAAGGTTACTTGCTGGTGCGAGAGATGCAGGGAATGAGGATTGGAATGACGGAATGACCCCTAAACCATCCAACTGGTTTTCTTTATTCGGGGACCGAAGGGGTTCATTCCATTTCTCATTGCCTGAGCACCAGCATTACTGGGGCGATTCAGCCTGGCAGACCTGGCGAAACATCGCCGCAGGCCGCCGACATGATTCTGCAGGTCAACGGCGAGGCGGTCACAGGCACGGAAAACCGTTTCGGCTTGAGATTCTGAGGTGGGCGTGTGTTGTTCAGGGTCCCTTTCGACATGTGGAGCTCCATTGAAAGAATGCAAGAGCGCCTGGGTCAAAAGCAGTGGAGCCTCCATGCGGAGCATATCGTGAATGTTCACGTGAGTCTGCACGTGTTTGCAAGCGTGGTTTCAAGTGTAAAATGGGATGCCACGCTTGGAAACATGGTGGCATGCGCTGGGCTTCGGGTTTTTTGATGAGTAAACGGCCTGCTTCAAGGGCCTCAGTGGGAGGCTTGACTGATTGTGGTTGCCATATTTCATGGATTCGTTGCAGCTCCGGTGGCAAACCACACCAGGAGAGAATGTGCACGGCAAGCTCGCAGATGCTGGTCCGTGACTTGCCTGGAATCTAGTTGGACGTGTCGTGTCACGCTCTTGGGCAATTTCAGTCAAGCAGATGCAGTTGTCGCCGGGTCATTGAGAAGCACCTCGACGTGTCGCTCAAATCAGCCGTAAGGGCCTCTGTGCATTCTGAATGTTGACCAAGGGAAGCCACTATCACCATGAAGCACGCGTCGGAACGAAATTTGGTCTTGGGCTCAGTGAGAGCTTGCTGAGGGCAGGATATGTCGAGCGCTTGTAGACCGGACATCCAGCGGATGCATTGTAGGCAGAGGGGATGCAACGTAACCACTGCAAGCATTGCATGGTGTAGCAACAGGAGGATGTCATCATCGCATTAAGTTGCCACCGGCCTATTGTAGTGCTTTTGAATTCAACTCTTATAGCTTGCGCAGAGAAGGTGCTGCCGAGCGAACTGTCAGTGTGCTATATATATATATATGTATGCGTGTCTATATGTATATGTACAATATGTATATATATATATATATCTTATATATATATATATACACATACACATTCCTTCAAGCCTCATTGGTGCCGTGTACTACCAGTTTGTCGCCGATCTGCCCGCAGCAGCAACAACAACAGCAGTCTGGAGATCCCTGTGGCGCTTGCTTATGCCGCCGTGACCGCGGCATTGTCAGGGAGCGCTCTGGATAGAGAGGGAGACGCCCAAATGGCCACGCCTCCACTTGTTCCAGCTTTTCACTTTCGTACCAACTTGCTTTTTTGCGCTGAACATGCACGGTCCTACTTTTGATTTATCGTGGTTGGTTTATATTTTTCGATCCGTTTTATCGATGAGTGGAGGTTTTCCATACTTTGTCCAAGTTGCGGTCACGTCCTCAAGAGCTCCGCTTTGGCGTCCAGGTCTTGAAGAAGCCTGGGCAGCTGGGCATCACGGTGAAATTCGCGCCGCCCGGCTGAGGGGCCTCGCTGCGTGTTTTTTTTTTCTTCTTCTTTTTCTGTGAGCTCCATGTCTGGCGATATTTTTGGATTTTGGGTCCAGTTGTCTGATGTCTGTCCCTTCGGCCAGAGCCGGTTTTTGGGTCCAGTTTTTTGGGTCCAGTTTTTTGTTGGTCCCAGAGCCGGCGCTAGCCATTTTCCATGTCTGTCTCTTCGGCAGCGGACGGCTGCTCTCGTTTTTGCGGCCGTTTTTGCTTGGCTTTGAAGATGCGAGCCTCCACAGGAAGTCCTCCCACGGCATCTGGATCGCAACCGTGGCACCGGGACCGGAGAGGGCGAAGAAACATCAAACCTCGCTGCTCCAAGCCAATTGCCAAGGGTCAGTTTCGAGACTTGCCAGGCAACGCATGTTTGAACAACGACTGAGTTGTGGATTGGAAAGGCAGCGGTGGCAGGATTTGTTCTTGCCCAATTGAACTCTTCGCGAAGAGGTTTTGTGCCCGTGGCTTCTCTTAAACTCACAAACAACGAGTGTCATCTCTGAGGAAAATAAATGTCAGGACCGCCTTGCTGACACTTTGTGCAGGACTTGTGCTGGACTGGAACCAGAAGAATCCCGACCAAAGCGTGGCAGTGAACGTGCCTTGTCTTTCTGATTGAAAAGGAAAGTGTCGTTTGCTCAATGATCGGTACAGGCTTCGCTGAAGTGTATTTAGTATTTGGCTTTGCGGATGAGGACACATTCAAGTTTGCTTAGGATCGCATTGTGGCTGCCTCTTGGCTGCAACTGGTTGTTTCTATTTGAGAGCCAAGCCTCGACATTTCGGAGGTCCCTCGCGGTGCTTGGAGCGATCTGAGGTCAATGGAGTTACTGGACAATCCCAAGACCTCGTCGCCAAGATGAGGGAAGTCTCCGACACCATCGTGCTTTGCCGTCAAAGAACGATTTGACCGATTTTTTGCCGTGAGTCAGCACTGGTCCAGCACTGGTCACAGGACAGCTGGGACAACCAAGACCACCAAAAACTAGTGGCCGAGGTCCAGCTGATATGCAGATTTTTAATGTGACAATTCATCCTTTTCAAGCTCAGGTGCTGGTCGTGATGCACTACGAGTGAAGTAACTGAGAGAGGCAGACCCAGGTCCTCTTTCTGCTGGAAGCACAGTTTTCCTTGCGCTGGTGATCGATGTTAGAGGACATGGGCTGCGGGTATGTTTCATTATGGTGATAAAGTCACACTACTGCCTAATGCTGCCTGAGCATTGCCCAGCAAGCCTTTGTGTCAGAAAAACTTTGGGCAGCGCTTCAGACAAGATGAGAGCTGGCCATCGTGCCCAGCGCGCCAAATCTTTGCGACACTTTGGCTCCGGCACGTGACAGAGAAGCCCAAGGGCCGTGTGGGTCATTTCAGTATGGCATTGTCCCAAGGACAAGGCCATAGCCTAGCATTGCACCTGCGGCCAGAGGGGGAAGGTGGAAAGGAGCTGGATGAAACCGCTCCCTTTTCCTCAGGCCGTCAGCCAATGGGGTTGCAACTTTTCGGTGAAGGCGTGCCCACGCAGGGATTGCTCTTGTCCTTTGGACCGGGCCTACCAGGAAGGAGCGCAGGAGCCAGTCAAGAGTCTTCTAAAGTGAGGAGCTTGACAGCAAGTTTGCAGCGGGAGAGGGCGGAGTCTCTGGAGGCCATTTTGCGTTGGGCCATTTTCTTATAGCAGAATCTTGCGGTCCGAATCAGGCTCATTGAATCCAGAGATGGATTGGACTTTTGCGCTCCTGGCGATAGGGCACTTGAGTACTGCTCAGAAAAGGGTAGTTGGCAGCTGAGATCCCTGAGATGCCTCCCAGTTTTGAGCAGCTCGCTTCCCCCCGGACTGCAGCCTTGAATCCCGACTTCAAGGAACCCGAAATTGAGGACCGGCGCAGAGTCTGTCCTCTGTTTCCGGCATGTCGCTTTAAGCATACCTGGAGTCTGCCCAAAATTAAGAGGTTATGACCCCTTACCCCAACCATTTTTTTTACACCGGGTCGATGCCAGGTGATGCCTGTCCGCGAGGAGCCGGGCCAAAGCACTCAGGCCTGGAGCCACGCCAGGCGTTGCTTGAGGCGTTCAAAGTGTTGCGTTTGTTGGTTACTTGTTGGTTGGTTGGGCTTGGTGTTTTTTGATTAAGCGCACCCCGTTTTTACTCGGGAACGCAACAACAACCTCAGCCATTGTTTGGGCCCAGAGTAGATTCGGCTACTACAGACGCTCAGTTTGCCATTTAGCTCTAAGTTTGCTTCTACCGCCCGTGTTATGGAACGAGGCAGCCTATGTCAGTCGTTGCAGCGCGCCGATACGGCTGGAAAGCAGGGGAGCCCGGGGGGTTTGCGAGAACATGTTGTCGGCCCTTAGCGTCAAGATTGGAGTAGAGAGAGTGCGGTTTTGAAAGAGGTGTCGAAGGAAGACAACTGCCCTGACTTATGCTTATTTTGTATTTCAGCTGTGTGACAATTGGCTGCTTCTTTCAGGACAGTACTCGATGGAAGCGGCAATGGCAGTGTTTGCAGCCTCTTGCCTTTGCGCGAGAAGGGTATAGGAGCGGACATGCTGCTGCGAAAAGCGCCTTGAGATCCTCACTAGAATATGTTCTTGCCATGCAAAGCTGCGTTTTGCACAGATCCAATGTATCAAACAAATTGGGGCTCCCAGTGGTTGCTTTCCCCTATAGTTTTCTTGTTTCAAATGGTTCAAAAGGGCCCTTGGTTTTGCCAGCTTGGTCTTTGTCTCGCTTCCAAGGTGGCAGTGCAGGCAGCCTGCGCGCGTGGATGGGATTGCTGGGCAGCAAGGAACTGTGCTTATGAGCTTTTCTTTTGGACCCGCCCCAAAGACTGCGCATGCATGCCATTTTAGGCAACCTGTAGTGTTCTGCCAGTTGGCTCCAAAACTCCTACTGAACAATCCCCCAGATAGGATGATTCGATCGCTTGAAGTGTTGAGGCAGGGAACAGTTGTTCTCGTTTTGAAAGGGGTTAAGCTTGTGTTCATGTACATACATGTCTTATTTGGTTTGGTTTACCTCGAGCATCAAGAAGAACCATCCGAGTTCATTGTGCCGAACCTGAGCTGGCCAGGCCGAGGGCTGGTGCAGGCTGGACGGAAATTCTGCTTCGGGAGCCAGAAGGTTTGCAGTGGTTGAATCACTTGGGCTGGTTGATCAAGCTTGGGTCCACATGTCAAAAATGATGGGAAGCACCGCAGAGTTCTTGCGTTGAAGGAATGTTTGCTGGACCAATGTGACAAGCTTGACCGTGGAATGGCTGTTTTTGGTTGAAGCATTGGACCTGAGGCTTTCTCAAATCCTTTGGTACATGCATAAAATGCGCGGGAAGGTTGTGTGCTCTGCAGATTGACATGGACCCCCAAAATCATTTTCAAGAGGATCTCCTTTTGAACCCCCCCAGTTTCGGTGCTGATTGGCAGGGGGAGAGATCCATTTTCGTGGGAATCCTGTAGTTCTTGTAGAAGCGCCTGGTTGAGGTGCCAGTCTTCCATGGGCCGACCTTGGCACGCCGGGGGCCGGGCGTGCCAGGCCTATAGGCCAATATAAGCAAAACCAGCTTGGTAGGCACTGCTCAAGTGTGTGTCTTTTGAGTGTACACTTTTCGGGGCTGGTTGGGGGGGGCCCAATCTTTTTAGGGCTTGGTTGGTGTGCGTTTTGAGGCGGACCCCCCCATGAACTTGGGGGTCCAGATCCCGTACAAACATGTGAGCGGGGCATTGGCCAAGAGACGACTTTGCCACTGCGGATAAAATCCGTGAAGATGTATGGCCCACTTTGCCAAAAGCTCTGCGACTTTGGGCACAGACGCTGCATCTCGCAGGCTAGCGGGTTTCTTGTGGCTGAGACTCTGAGCCTAGGGAAAACGGGCCTTCGCCCGGCCAGCTTTCAGGTTCAACAGCATGACCGAGGGACACCATGAAGCGTCTTGAGATGCTTGGGATGCAGTGATCCCAATTGGGCTAGAAGGAAGACGGAAGTTCTGACTTTCATATTCTTGCCGTCAGCTCCGTTAGGGTTCGCGAAAACGGGAGCAATGGGCAGCCAGAGGGAGGTGATGCTAGCCATGTGCTGAGTGCCTTGGTCGCACTTGCATCTCCATCCTGCCTATTTTTATGGTCTTCCTTGGGGGTCCTGTGCTTGGGGATTCCAGTCTTGCCTTTCCCTTTTTAACCCAACTGAACTCAGCTCACTGTCTCACACGGACGAGCTCACCGAAAGGAAAGGAAGGGATCCGAGTCACGGAACTCGTGTGAGGCTCATGGAGGAGAAAAAGAAGAAGACGCGGGCGGAGAAGACCTCCTGCGCATGGGGCGCCTTTGACTGCGGACGTGCAGCCAGTGTTTTCATGGCCCACGTTTTCATGGATGTGTCCTTTTGTATGGGAACTCCTCCCCCCCAAAAAAGAGAGAGAAAGAAAGTGCTTTCTGTTTTTGGCTTTCCCTTGAAACCACCGGGTGCCACAAAAAGAAGAGACACCCTGATAGGCATGATCGCTTCAGGTGTTCGTGTTTGCTTTGCATTTGTCCTAAGTCCGCATTGGCGCACTAGTCTTCCTGCTCGTGCTGGCCATCACAGGGCCAATCTGGGTGCTTCTTCTGCAAGAAGCGTGCACGTTTTTTGCAGCAACGAAGTCGCCTGAGTGTTGTTTGCGCATCAAAATGCTGGGCAATGAGGTAGTGCCCTGATCTCTCTCTCCCTTTGCCTCTCCCTCTGCCTCCCCCTCGCTCTGTCTGTCTGTCTGTCTGTCTGTCTGTCTGTCTGTGTCTGTGTCTGTCTCTGTCTCTGTCTCTGTCTCTGTCTCTGTCTCTGTCTCCATCTCTGTCTCTGTCTCTCTCTGTCTGTCTCTGTCTGTGGCCGCCGGCCCTGTGTGTCTCTGTCTCTCTCTGTCTGTCTCTGTCTGTGGCCGCCGGCCCTGTGTGTCTCTGTGTGTCTCTGTCTGTCTCTGTCTGTCTCTGTCTGTCACTGTCTATTTGTCTATCTGTCTATCTGTCAACCGGTCTATCGGTCTATCGGTCTATTAGTCTATCTATCTATTAGTCTATCTGTCTATCTGTCTATCTGTCTGTGTGTCTGTCTGTCTGTCTGTTTGTCTGTCTGTCTGTCTGTCTGTCTGTCTGTCTGTTTGTCTGTCTCTGTGTGTCTGTCTATCTGTCTCTCTCTGTTTTTCTCTGTCAAATTGTCTGAAGCTGAATTCAGGAGCTTGTGTGGCGGGCAGAATTGAGGTGGCGGCGATGCTGAAGGAACGAAACATGAGACCATATTCTTCTGGATATTCGCAGGATCAAGTACATATTGATTTTGCTTGGCTTTGCTGGCATGTCGAATTTGTGACAACAGAGACATGTCATCGAGGACTTGTTCAGAGGCAACATGGAAATCACTGCATCCTTGACTTGACTTGACTAACTTCCTCCCTCCCCCCTCCCTCTCTGTATGTCTATCTCAATCTCTTTCTGTGAGTGCACCTCTCGGGCGACGATTTCCAGCGTTTCTTTTTTTGGGGGCAGCGCAACTCCCGCCCTCCCCGCCATCCGCTTTCCATCCGACGGGTTGCGGGCCGAGTCGACTGACTGACTCCAGGCCTTCACTTTGGCCTCCTGCACCTCAACTCTGCCCTGCCGCATTGGCCAGCAGCTGACGCACGCGGAGGATGGCTCCGATGGGTCTGATGGGTCTGGGGTCCGGACATGGCAAGTTGAGGTGCAATCGATTGCGGGGCCTGCAAGCTGTGAGCCGCAATCTACGGGCAACAGGCAATGTCCACTTCACATTCACCGCTGTAAATGGTTCCAATCGCAGAGGATTGATCCGTCTTGCCCCCCCCCCGAGCTTACAGCTTACACGCAAGGTCAGAGCTCAGAGATCCGTAGTTCAAAGCGCCCGTTTTTTTTTTTGTTCCGACGTGAGCATGGCGCCTCAGGCGCAATGTGCCGAGGGCGCTGGCGCCAGATCTGAGGCGCGATTGGTGTCTGGGCGACTGGCTCATGTTGCATTCACATGAGCCACAGTCAAACCCTGGGAAATGAAGGGTAGTAAGGGACACTTTGAACCAGAAATAGGTGTGGCCGCCTTGGTAACTCTTTAGATGGTCTTGGCTTCACATTTTGGTACCAGGTTTTGATTTGTGACTCACATGGTAGCCGTTCATCCCTTGGCTTTTGTCTGCCTCACGCGAGGAGCTTCTGCATGGCGACGCTTGCACCTTGCTTTGCGGCTTGGACGGCTTGGCGCGCCGCCCGGAGTCCACTCAAAATCGGTCCCCTGTGGGTATTTTTTTGGAGGCCAGAAGGACCTGAAGCGGTCTCAAATTGAGAAGCACAAGGCTGGGTTGTGTTGTTCTTGGTGTGCGGTGCCCGGACATGAGGTGACGACCCCAGGAAGAGGCCCACCATCCCGGAGCTGCTCTGCCTCCGGGCAGCAGATCGCGAAGCAGAGCTCCGAAGGGGGCTGTCTCTAGAGAATACCGCTCATGGACCGGGCAAGAAAGTATATTCTTGTTTTTTGAAGCTGGCAACGCTAGTCGGCAAGAAACATGGCTCATGTTGCGGGCGGGGGTAATCATGTTTTTTGCTAGAACTTCATGATTGCAACGACCTCTCCACACTCGCATGCCATCAATCCAGCGGCACAATTCAGCAAAATCCGCTGAAGTTCAATTGCGATTTTCGTTCAGCAATCGTATATCGGTCTCACTTTTGCTACAGTGGCGAACGGGTTGTCAATCAAGAGCAGGCTTGTGGCATATGGTTTCAAAATCGTGGACTCCCACTTTTTGGTATTTGAAGGGAGACCACCACCATTTCGGGGCATCTGTCCGGAAGGGCGGAAGAGGGGCCCACGCAAAAAGAAAGGACCATGCATTGCCAGTCACGGAGGTCTGGACGGCAACGCCAGCGGAAGCGAGATGGTGCAGTGCGTGGTGCCAGAGGTGCCGTCAGGCGCAGCCATTGCCGTGGCCCCCACAAAATCTGCTCGGAGGGCGTGACGCAAGACATTAAAACGGGTCTGTTTTTTTGATGGTACCCTGTTTTGGGTTGGTTGAAAAGGAGACCAAAGGGAAACTATTGATTTTTAGGCGAGTACCATAAACAAAATATACACACACACACACATGTTGGTTTTGGAAGTTTTAGCACGTTGGAAAACATCCATTCATCAATTTCCAGGCTGCACGCTACACTGCAGGTTTCGCCTGTGCTGCTGAAATGTGTTGCGGAGAGTGTGTGCCTTTGCTGATGGCCGTCCTTGTTTTGGGCTGCTGTCATTTCCCTGCCAGCCCAGTTTCCGTGATAGACCTGTGGTTGGTGTGAAATCCCTGGTGCTGTCACGACTATGAAAAAGAGACGCCAATCTGGGCTTTAGGGAAGCCTTTGATCACTGTCTGGGCGCCATACAACTTTGGGAACCGGCCGCATCCCGGTTCTGCGGGTTCCCAGAGACGCTTTGGATTGCGCATGTCGAGAACCCCGCCTTCCAAGAGTCCGATTCATTTCAGGCCGATCTGCCGAGTAGCACGACGCCTCGCATCGCCTCTCGCTCGCGTGCGCTCAGAAGCGTGCGCGCGGTTCTGCTACCGAGTCCAGTCTGGCTCCTTGCCACTTCGTTTGCGGCATGCCGACAACTTCTGCTGCTTCAGTAGCTGCGACTTCCGAATCTAGTTTTGATTGTTGGAGTCTTTCTGTGACAACAGCCGGATGGGTTGAGGGAATCCTGTCCAAGTTTCTGGTTCCTAGTTTGGCCTGTCGGGTGGCTAGAACAGCCACGGTTTGTTTCCGTTTGATTTCCCTTGATATTTTGCTTTAAGAGGGTCCAGTTTGAGAAACTCGAAAGGGCATACCCATTTGCACCCCATACGTCGGTTACAAATCACCCGTTTTGCAAGGCCCGCCATCCCTTGAGCCCAGCTTTGCTTCGAAGCTTGGCGGAAAGGCTTTCGGCAGTCTCTGGTATGTCCTGCTCAACGCGTGCTTTTGTTGGGTTTAAGGCAAACCGCATGGAAAACCTTTTGGCCCTCTATTTTGACAGACCAATATGAGCAATCTCCAAATGGGGCGCGGAAGAGAAGCTGGGAAGTTGTGGTTGTCGTCGTTGCAGTAGTAACAGCAGCCGCAGCAGCATCATCAGCAGCAGCAGCAGTGGTGGTGGTGGTGGTGGTAGTAGTCGTAGTCGTAGTCGTAGTCGTAGTCGTAGTCGTAGTCGTAGTCGTAGTCGTAGTCGTAGTCGTAGTCGTAGTCGTAGTCGTAGTCGTCGTCGTCGTCGTCGTCGTCGTCGTCGTCGTCGTCGTCGTCGTCGTCGTCGTCGTCGTAGTAGTAGTAGTAGTAGTAGTAGTAGTAGTAGTAGTAGTAGTAGTAGTAGTAGTAGTAGTAGTAGTAGTAGTAGTAGTAGTAGAAGTAGAAGTAGAAGTAGTAGTAGTAGTAGTATTTTTTTTTTTGTTGTTGTTCTCCTCGTCGTCGTCGTCGTCGTCGTCGGTGGTGGTGGTGGTGGTGGTGGTGGCGGCGCATGTCCGCATTTTGCTTATATTTCGTTTGTGGTGTTTGATGCAGGTCTGCCTAGCCGCCACAAGTTTGTAGCATTTGGGGCATCTTCAAATTCAGGGCCCTTCTTGGTATCGCTCAAGAAAGGCCAAGGCGGCACAAGTGTCCAAGCAGGGGCCCCAACAGGATGGCTCACTTTCCCGCGATTAGGTATGCTATTACGTCCGGAGAGCCGCGCCTGGTTTGCGGCCAAGCAGAGCGCTTTCCATGTGAGGTGGCTCGGGTCCAGCGTCTTGTGTCTGGTTCTGAACAGGCTTGAGATGTCTTCATGTTTGTTTCCGTTTTACGGTGCTTGTCGTGTAAGATGTTTCTTTGTTAGGTAGTTTATTTTTGAAGATGCTTGTTGGTTTCCGAGGTGCAGTTTTGTTTCGGACTCTTTTGAAGCATTTTAATCTGGTCAGAAGGTCTGCCCGGGTTTATTTTCAAGGTCTTGCCGGATGTGTTTGCGTATCAGGCGGCTCCAGGTGCTACGTCGATATTGGTCCAGCTGCGCTTCATGAACAAAGACAAATGTGCCGGGCTGAGTCGGCTGAAACCGGGTTAGCTTCGCTCCCGAAAGCAGAGTTGGAGTTGTCTCAAGGGCGCGGGCCCCAAACATGGTTGGCTTTTCTCAAACTAATATACCCAAATACCAGGTTTTGCTTGGGGGTTCTCTAAGTTTCAGTTGGTAGAAGCGACTTTTTCGCTGGCCCAAATGTAATTATCCGCAATTGTCCTATGGACCCTGCGAAAGCCTGCGCGGTGCCATGTTGCTGCAGGCGATGAGATCTTTACCGAGTGCCGTAGTCTGAACTCAGTGCCCTCTGGTTGCAGATGACGAGATGTTTGCAAGATCAAGGCATGAGGTGCCGGGGGTGGTGGCATGTCTTTTTTGAGGCTGCCCTCTTTGACCAGCAAAGCCACCCTTTTTGGGGCCTCAAGCAAATGCAAACCCAGGTGGTTGTTGTGACTGAATTCCACAACTCAGGTTCACTTTTCAAGAATTTGCCTCTGGTCTGCAATGTTTGTTGATGTCACCGGTCGAGGCAGGATGGCCGAGGCTTTTGAGCTGCGCGTTCTGAGGTTAGGAGCGAGGCAGCGTTGGCGTACGAAGCGGATGCCCGGTTGCAACCGGTTGTCCTGATGCAACCTTCCACGATTTTGATGGCGTGGGATGCAGCCTGTGCTGGCAAGGTAGCCCAACGCCTAAGGATCCCAACAACAAGACGCTCTATGATGCAGCTGCAGCTCGGCGTTTTTGCCTTCCCCAATTTGCGGGCATTGGCATATAGCCTTGGGTGCAACGGGGAGGCGCTTGAGACAACGGCCCAGTGCCTAGCACACAATCCAAAGAATTCTGTGTGACATGTTGCATGCATCCGGTAGGCTAGAGTGCAGGGAGGGTTTGTGTTTTGGTAGCCCTTTTTCCGCGAGAATAACTTTCCATTAGGAGGACAAACCGGAAATCCGCTTACATGCTGTGGGATGACACCCAGTGAGAGAGCAGTCCCATTGCTCAGTGGGACGACCCTGGCACCTGCACATTGGGCTGCTTCGTGGCTGCTTGGCATTTGCAGAGCCAGGGGTGTGAAGAGCCAGGGCGATGGTTGGACTCGTTGCGCTGCTGTCGCCCTCATAGCTCATAGGTGCGAGATCGGTCCATGCTTCAGCCAGGCTTCTAGGGCTACAAGATGATGGGTGGCTTCCATAAACAGCGACACATGGGTGTGGGTCAAAATTCAATCACTAGGGGACCGCAGGTTTTAGTCCATGTTTCCATTTACCAGGGTTCCATTTTGGGTACCTTTTTTTGACCCACAGCCACATCTTCTAGTCCTTGCACATTTTTACAGTCCGAGCTCAGGAGCAGTTCGACCTGGCTCAGCTGCAATCCATGCAGAACGAGCTCACCACAGTGACCAACCAGGTGGCGACTGCGCCTCTCAGCTCACAAGTTGATTTGGCCACAACAGGCCGCGCGTCTTTTTCCGGCCCACCCGAGTTTCCGAGTCTTCGGGTCTTGGGAGGTTTTGGGGGGTGGCCAAACTCGGGTCCAGCCTCTCACAGCCTCTCACAGGGGGCCGGGCCCCGGGTCTTTGGAGCTTTCGGCCCACTCCGAGGTTCCCCGTGCCGGACGGCCAGTTGGCCATCAACTACTGCGGCGGCAACCCAGGCACGCTGAAGCGCGGGGAAAGTGAGATCCCTGCCGATCGGGTAGACCTCCTTCTAGGCACTGGTGAGCTTGCAGACCCTGAAAGGTCCTAACCACAGCGAGGTAGACAAATTTTGCTGCCGGGTGCACTGGTGCAACCATCTACATTTTAGGAACAGCCGGAATCAGGCGCAAAGTGAAATGTGCCCATCTTTGCATCTTTGAAGTCCCTTCCAAAGAGAGCTCTCCACTGTGCCCGAAAACGAGGGCGTCGTTTTTTTTTGGAACGCCTGACTCGCCTTTCAGGTCCGGCCTGCATCCGAGTGCAGGGCTTGTGTGACCCCTCGCAGGACGGCGGCGGGGAGGGGGTGCCCCTTCTTTTTGTTTGGGTGTGGAATCAATATAGGTACCCAAAATGGAACCCTGGTAAATGGAGACAAGGACTAAAACCTGCGGTCCCCCGGTGGTTTAATTTTGACCCATACCCATTTCGCTGTGGCTTGAAACGTCGCCTCAAGAAACACCGCAACAATGCTCAGTCGAGAGAATATCTTAGAACTACTTGCCCGGGGAGCACTGCTCTTGCGGCTTGCAAACACTCCCAGCTATTCTCCGCATGGGAGAATCTTTTCCGGACTGCCAGCGTCATTTGAGTTCCAAACGCACGTGCCACCCCAGTTCCGCAGAGGTTAGTCAAATCCCCACTCCGATAGTTCGAGTCTGCGCAGGATGGTGACTACTACAAGCATCCCGTCTGTATCTCAGGCCAGGCTCAATGGGCAAAGTGACTTGGTGGCAATCGAGTGGGGCCATTGGCTGCTTCATTTTCGGGGAGCACAAGACTACATGGTTTTCATATTCTGGGAAATATCGGTCCGCATACAGAGGAAGCACCTGCTTATCACAAAACTGGTTTGCGAGGCATCTTTTTGCTGGGTTGTCTTAACGGAAGGTCCTTTGAAGCGGATGCTCTTGTCAGAAACCATCCCTGGGCTCAAGGATTTTGGCCCATGTTCAGAGTGAAGAGACATGTTTGGAGGCTGCCACTCGACTGCGTGAATCCAATCTTGCAAGGATTGATGGGTCCTTGCGGATTCGGTACGATGGTGATGAGCGGAACGGGCAGGCCGGGAGTCGATGGAGCTTGAATGTTCAGACGGCGGCAATGCGCCATTTCTATGATTTTGCTTTGAGCCGCTGATTTGTGTGTGGGTCAAAAGTAGGTACCCAGAATGGAACCCTGGTAAATGGAAACAAAGACTAACACCTCCACACATGCTGGTTTAATTTGGACCCATACCCATTTCTTCCTTCATGCCCCTTTTTTTCTTCCTTCCTTTGGCTGGCCACTTGGGTGTAATCTGCACATCCGCGCCCAGGCCGGCAAGTGGGTGCTGGAAACCGACGTGGCGGACTTGCTCTCCAGTGGCGGGATGCTGAGAAAAGGGTTTGCAGCTTCCGTTGATGCAGAGACTTGCTGGTGCGAGAGATGCAGGGAATGAACGAATGACCCCTAGAAAAACCATCCAACTGGTGGTTTCCTTTAAGGGAACCGCTAAATTCATTCCCTCATTCCCTATCGCACCAGCACGAAGAGCCTCAGCTTTGAAGCCAGGTTACGGCACCGAGATTGCCCGGCAGCCCACGTTCAATCCCACACCAGTCCTGGGCGACACCATCTGGAACCTAAAGTGCAGGCCAGGACCGATGGGGGGTGTCACAGGCTAGCAATTATGGCGCAGACAAGTCAACACGGGCATGGGCGGTGGAACCTTGCCAAACCGATATTTGGTTTGCTTACTCTGGTCTCGACGGGATGTTGGTTCAAAGACGCGAGCAAAACAATTTGCTACAAAGGGCCGTGCCGCCATCAGGTTTCCCAGCGGTGGCGGGGGCTACTACATCCAGTGGCTTGGATTGGGCAAGAGCGCCGCACGACGACAAAGCCTTCGGCACCCCAAAGTCAGGTTCTTTCCGGTTTCCACTCGAACCTCGCCTCGAACGAAAGTGGGGTACCCCTCCCAAAGAGGGTACCAAAAAGGCTAGCCTCATGCTTTCCCTCCCAAAAAACGGGCAACAACTCGCCTCAAAAAAACACAAAAAAGCCACGATGCGATGCGAAGACAGCGAGGTATCACACCCGGATCGTGGAGCTTGTGAGCTGCACCTGCGACTCGCAGATCGCGGCCTGGCCGAAGTTCGGTCGACTTTGGTCGACTTCGGTCGGTTCGGTCGGTTCGGTGCCGGTTGTCTTTGGTGCTTTCGGTGGAGCCTACGTCAATCTCTATGTTTTTCGGGACCCAAGGGGCCACAAACATGTCGATGCGGTTCCTCCCTTTGTACTTATTGTTAAAGAATGAGTGGTTGCAGTCAGGCCTACATCAACCCGAACCAGGTTGGTGGACCCAAATCAGTTTTCGGGCACTCGGATGGCCGGAATGGTTTTCAATCAGTGGGCATGCCTGGCATGGCCAAACCCTTGACCCTTCCGAGCTGAAAGGATAGATTCTGCTCAGCCATTCAGCAGACTCGGAAGTCTGGGAGGCCTCTTTGTTTGTCCGACTTGGTCCAGCAATTTGCAAGAACTTCCCTGTCCGGAATGTTGCAAGTCCAATTCTTGCAACTGCCCAAGCCACTAGAACTTTGTCTCTCTGTCCAAGTCTCCAAGTTGAAAGCCGAAAGCCGAGATGTGCCCAGGACTGCAATGGCCGCGGTGAAGCGGTCGGCAGCAAGGACAACGGGCCCAACTGCGTGTGGGGCCCTTGGGAATGGACAAAAAAGAACTGGAGACCAAAGAGGTTTTCTTGTGTAAAGACCAACACAAGGTGTCCTCTTAGGCAAAAAAATGTATAGGGAAAGAGATGACCGCATTTTTTGGTTCACATATTTTTACACATGGGTGTGTCTTTTGGGGAGCCGCACAATGGGGAATTTCCTTTTGGTTCGGGCACACTCCTCAGAAACAAAACACAGCCACAAGACACGACAAAAGCATTCCTTGGCAGGTGTGTTTGCAGCCCGGAGCGCGCCGGGGACTCCTGCGAGATCCCGTTATGTCAGGCGATGCGATGCGCAGGGGCCTTCGTTCTGGGATTAGATGTGCCATGGTTATAACTTGCAGTTCGATAGTGCGCGCTCACATTCATAAAACACAGTTTTGTGTGGGTGTGGTAGGGATGGTCAACAATCCCTTTATATGTAAGACTTGTATCAGCAGGTGAGTTTGTCGCTCGTAAGAGAGAGCCTGCTACAAAATGGTTGGTTGGTGGACATGATGAGTCCCCACCTAGATCCACAAAAGGGCCCACAGTTAAAATTCATTCTGTTAGACACGCCAGGCCCTTTTCCATCGTCCTGTACCTTGTGCTTCCGACATGTGGCCTCTGCAAAAGTTCGGCACGCCCGAAAACAAAGGCTGTGAGGAGTGTTTTTTCAGTTCGCTGGCACACGCAAGGGCTTGCAGAGACACACGCACACAAATACCCACACGCAAAACGAGCAAAGAGCTGCTTTTGCTTGTAAGCTTGTCAACCCAAAAGAAGAAGCTGAACAGCAACTTTAACGCCGGCTCAGACCTGGTTAGCCTCGGTTTCTTCACGTTCTTTTCCCTAGCAGATGCCTGGGCCGTGCAAAGTTTCCCCCTTGGCCAGGTGCCGGGGGTGCAGAACGCCCTGCAGCCTGCTTGCAAGGAGGGCGCCTGGATCTTCCCGGACGCCACCTGCACCCCCGACTGCACAGAAGGTCACGCGCCCAGCAACGACGTCTTCACCTGCGCCTTGGCGGGGTGAAAAATGGTTCCCTCTATTTGGCGGTGGGTCAAGCAGGGATATCCAAAATGGAACCCTGGTATATGGAAACAAAGACTAAAACTGCGTAACCTTAGCTCTTTCATTTTGAGCACCTTTCTTGGCCAGTTCAAAATGAATTTCTGTTGGGTGGTGCGATGGTTTGTGGTTCCAAGACACGTGACTCCGAAGCCAAACCCCCCTCCCCCCCAAAGCTCCCCTGACAGTGGGTCAGGACATCCATGGTCGGGACAAAAAAGTGGAAACGAGCGCGAAACCAGGGTTTCCCATTCATATACACACGCACGTACGTATAGACACACATATATATATATAATATGTATAATTATATATATATATATACATACACGTACTCACAATAGTATTGTGCACGTGTCCGCAATTTGTGTGTTATCTGTGTGTTTTTGGGTTTCCGTGTTTCTGCTGCGTCCTTTGTGCGTCTTGGCATGTCTGTGTGTGTGTGTGTGAGTGTCTGATTTGACAGCAACCACCTTGTCGTGCTGATTTTCATTCTTTGCCCTGCCATTCAGCAAAATACTAGAACTTTGAGGTCATTTGCCTGCAACCTCTTGCCCCCAACTATCCTGCATTAGAACGGCTCTGCTCGCAATACGTGTTTGCCCTCACTTTAGTGATTGCGCTTGATCCTCGGGACCTTGCGTTTTGTTTTGAGTTTTGGTGAAGGCGACCGAAACTCTGTTGAGCACCGCGGCAGAAACAGTGCCGACTCTACGGCACCCATCCAGCAAAGTAGTTTGAGTTGTCGAAACAGATCCAATGCTTGTGGCTTTGGCGTCACAAGTTTGCTCACTATCGCTCCCACCCTCCTGCCCCAGGCCGCCGTTTGTCGAGTGAGGTTGCTCCGAGCGAAAGGGTTCTCGCGTCGGTGGCCCTTTTTCGGGTTTGGGGGGTGCGCCCCCTTTGGTGGTTTGTGTTTGCCTTTTTAGCGGTCTTTGCTCCCACCTTCTCTGTCTTTTATGCTGGACGTGCTGGGTGTGTGATGCTAGGCTAGTGCCGTGGTGCTTCCTCATAAGGGCAACGGGGATAGATGTATATATATACATATAGATACATATATAAATACACATGTACATGTGTTTGTAGGTGTGTTCTTTTTTTGAGTTGTTTTTTCAGGGTTGGTTTAAAGGAAGGCCAAAGCGACAGCAGTTCATCTTTGTTTTCATGCCCAATTTTGACCTCCTAGCTGCACCCAGGCACAAGTGATGGCACCTTCCTGCTGCCCCTGGGCTTCACCTGCAACAAGATCTGGGTCAACGAGGAGCCGCCCGACGAGTTCGGCAACACGCCGGACGCTTACGAGACCGCGACCACCACCACGCCACCAGCCGCCTGGCGAGACCGGGAAGGGCGCGGTTGCCTTCCTTTGATTCTTTAATATTCTTTATTCAGGTCGGCACGCACCTGGGACAAGTCATGGCCCGCAGACCATAGCCCGCAAGCTTTAACGACCGCTTTTGCGGGAAGCTTTCGCGCGAGGAATGCACGGACTTCGACTGCGTGTTCCACGGCACAGCCACTGGAAACCGGCGGGCGGACGGGAGCTGCGAGTGCGAATGCCATGATGGCTACACTGGTCCGCAGTGTCGATCTGTGATGGGCCACTTGGAGCAAACACCATTCTAACATGTGGACGCTGTACAGACTAGTGCTGCTTTTGGAGCTTCGGTATCTCCAACATGTTGCAAAGTAGCCCTTTGCGTTGTATCAAGATGCAAAAACACGGGGTGTGCAGCCTGTGTGCCTTTTTGGGTCGAACTCTCTCTTCTCTCTCTTTCTCTTTCTCTTTCTCTCTCTTTCTCTTTCTCTTTCTCTCTCTCTTTCTCTTTCTCTTTCTCTTTCTCTCTCTTTCTTTCTTTCTTTCTTTCTTTCTTTCTAGTTTCCTGTTCTTCTCTTCTCGTCTCTTCCCTTCCTTTCTTCCCTCTTCCCTTCCCTTGCTCTCTCTCCAGGCGACTGCCTGGCGCCGCTGCACAAGAACATCCCCAACAGCGCCCTCTCCACCTGCGAGGAAGGCACCCGCCCGAATTTGGTCTGCACGGCGCGCTGCGCGGAGACCTACTACGCCGTGCCCGCGCAGCTGGAGTGCCAAGGCGCCCGCCGGGAGGGCCCGGAAACAGCTGCGGAGGGCCCGGGCTCAAAAGTTTCTTTTTTGGGGGGAGGGCTTGGCTGAGAATCGTTTTGGGGTTTTGGAGCAATGCCAGCAGCTTTGCTTTTTGTCACCTTTGGGGGGTTCAAATGCGGTTTCTTTCAGCCCGGGCTCAAAATTTGGGGGGAGGACTTCTGAAGGACCTCTGAGAATCTTTCGGGGTTTTGGAGAATTGCCAGGGACGACTTCTGTTCGGGGAGGGAGGAAATGACAGGGTGAGGACAGGGTTTCCTTTGATTTATTTTAAGAATTGGTCTTAAACATCACCTTTGGGAGGTTTCAAGTGCGGTTTCTTTCTTTGAGGTTTGCAGAGGACATATAGGAAATCCTGGAGGATGTCCTTGTGGGGGGCTGCCGGGGATTCCGAACACGTTGGTTCAACGTTTTCGAGAAAAGACAACATTCGAGAAGCATCCGATTTTGAGACAACCCGATTCGAGGAGGGTTGGGGTTTCGACTTGAAGAAGTTTTGAGTAATTGTGCAGGGGTATTTTCAGTTGGGCAATTTTTACAGGCTGAGAGTTTCTGGGAGTGGGGTTTTGATCTTTGCTCGGCTCACTGCTTTCGCCACTTTTGACAAAGGTGTGTGTGTGTGTGTGTCTCTGTGTGTGTGTGTGTGCTTCTGATAGATGTTGGACTCGTTTGAGTCACACTGCATGCATGAGTGGAACCTGAAGAGGCAGCCACCAGGGCAGTGCATGCAAATAGCCCGAGGTTGAGCAGCAGACTCGTTGCTTCTCGTACGGACTTGCCGCCGCAAAGCTCGCATCTCTATTTGGGCGAAGGTCTTTTTTCTAGGGTGCCCTTTTTGGCTCGGTTTCGGGAGGCCAAAAGGAAAACCAAGTGGGGTCCCATTTTGACACAGAGCCATGTGGAGAACGAAAAGTTGGGTCAGGCACCTCGCTGGTGCCGGAGAAGTTTCGGTGCTTCGGCGGCCCCACCACGGAGGCGTTGAGTCCCTTGCAGTTGAGGGGTTCTCATTTGATTTTTTTGCGGTCTCAAATAATTTTCCATTTTTTTGGCTCCCATTTTTCCAAGTAATTGGTTTTTTTTTGTGGGGGGGGGGTCTCAAAATTACTTGGTGGGGGTGGGACCCCCCGGCAAAAAGGACCAGGAAAGGTAATTTTGACGGCGTCACTTTAATGGACCCAACGTAATTACCATAGTTCCGCGGTAATTGTACAACCATTTGCTTGCTACTGTAGACTTGCACCAGGCTTTGGGATGGGCAACCCCGTGTATACACCATTTGCACAGGAAATGCTTGCGATGGTAACCTATACACGGATTCATCATGCCATTCTTCTCGTACACAGTATCGTTGTACACATATCATAGAGAGCAGCAAGTCTCTTGCATTGTATACTCTGTCGTTTATACATTGTAAACAATTTTGACCGTCATACTGTTGCACCTCTCGGATGTCAAACTCTGTCTATGTGATCTCAGTTCATTGCACAAACTAGCTGGCTAGCTCTAAGTTCTTCATTCTGTTGGTTGCTATTCCTTCTCACAGCATACCGTGTCAGTTGTCCTAATACTTTTGCGTTTGTGAGAACTTCAATGACCCAAAAATATCAGACCCTGCCAGATGAAGTGGTGCCAGATTGCCCAGATCTCGTCCTTGGTCTTCACCGGTATCACGTTTTTGGGCATCGCAGTGGTCTGCTACGCCTTCCAGAGGAACAAGGCTCGTATGTTCGGGAGGTTGGCCGGGCGATATTTGGGATGTTGGCAAAGAGGGTGGGGCATTGTTTCGTTACACGCAGAATTGTTGCAGTGGTGCATTTGCTTGGTATTTGCGCAGGAGAGGCCCTTTCAGAACTTCCTCTATCATGACAAGCTCGTGGAGAGTGTCACGGACGTGCACGGCAACTACAACGTGGTGCCTTGGGTAGGTAAGCCCCTCTGTATGTCAAGAACGTCCTGGGAAAAGCATGCCTGCTCACGATATTTTCACCTCGGGCATGGTGCGCACTGTGCACCAATGCCGAACCTCACTGGCTCTCGGTTTCATCCAAAGAAAGCGCCTGGTGTTCATGGCAATGCCATATTGTTGCAGCTCTAGGTGAACACATCTCTTGCTTGTGCAGCCCCCTAACATGGCCACAACCTTTGCTCGGCACGGGGCCTAGGTGCGTATGACCAATGGTGCCGAGTTCCACTCCAAATTGCCAGACCACATCTTGGGCCAAGATCCTCGCAAGGCTCGGGGATCGGGGGGAGCACGCCGAGGTGAAGCCAGAAAGAAAGGCTTGAGTGACACATTGGTGCTGAACGGATTTTCTGGAGTGAAAGGAATGCTGGCCAGTCTGGGTCAAAAATAGGTACACAAAATGGAGCCGAAAACTAACACCTGCGGTCCCTGGTGGTTTGATTTTGACCCATACCCAGTTGGGCACGGAAGCAAGACGGCTTCAATCACCGGCCGAGGTGGAGGTCGTCGAGCACAGCGACTACGCTGAAACGGAGAGCGGCCCCCGCCTCTCGCTGGAGGACCTTGGTCTCGGTTTTCGTTTCGGGGCGATAAACTCGCTGATGATCTTTGGGTTTAGGCGGCACATTGAGACTCACTTGCAAGGATCTCGAGCTTCATGTTGCGTCCTCGAAAAAATCACGTGAGCGACCAAAGGTACGGTCTTTTTTCTGCAATTTGATTTTAAAGAAGAGACACCCCAAAGCCCAATCATTCCTGTCTTTGCCAAAGCAGGTCAGCGGTGAACAAAATCGCGAGATGCCCTCGAGTCGGCTTGTGTTACATTTGACTGACACAGGAATGAAACAGAACGCACACTGCATCCATGCGGCCATTAGCACAGCGAGCATGCGAGAGCTTGGCCCAAACGTCAGGAGGCTGATACTCGCACGCCAAGCGCGAGGCCTAGTGTGGCAGGCTGGGAGCTTTGCTGTATGTTCCAACTGTATGTTTTTTTTGGAGGATGCCCTCTTCAGGTTGGTGCCACGGGGAAACCAGCAGCGTTTCTGGGTCCCTGTTTTTGCCTGACCCCTCTGCAGGATACTGGAAGGCTTCGACTGAAAGCTGTGTTGCCGGCTTGTGGATAGATCGGTTATTCTCCAAGACGAACTCATCCTTTCTGATGTCAAAGCTGGTCTTTTCCACCAAACCAACAATCAGCCACCATTTTGGTTGATATTTTGAGGGTGTTCGGGTGAATAGGATAAGAGCCCCTGGTTTCAGTCCAAATTGCATGACTTTCCAAGCACTCAACCATTGGAAGGGCACCTCTGCAATGCCACTCACGCTTGGCTGAATGAGTCTGGCCTTTGTATTTCAGAGGCTGGCCTTTGCATTTGCGAGTCGCAGAGCCGTTTCAAGGTGAAACTTTACGGCCATTTCCTCTTTTGAGGGCGGCCATTTCACCTGTAGGGCTTGTTTCAGGCCGTTCTTTTTCTCCCCCCGCAGGCCTCCCCGGGCAGCCGGAGCCGCTACCCCTGACCGCCGGCGGCGGCATGAAGCGCGGCGCGGAGGCGGGGGAGGTGGAAGACGGACGGGTCTTTCACAGAAGAAGTACTCAGTGGCAGTTGGCTGTGGGTCAAAACTAATGGGATCCCATTTTGGGGTAGGTGCAGCAACGATTTTGGTCTATTTTGGTGGGGATTGGGATGTTCACTGGGGGGCTTTTGACCCATGGCCAGTTGGCAATGGCAAGAAGCGTTTTGTTTCTCACCAAGTGAGATACCAAAGTTGACCGCAGGTGCTTCAGGTGCTGGCTGAAAAGGCGATCCAATGGGGAGCGAGCAGTAAGTTTTCAACAATCGAAACCCGCGGTTAGATGAAGTTAGGGATAGTCCCAGGCACAAGTCGATGCGGATATCCGCCCTTGTATTTTTGTGTACATGTTTTTGTGGGTGTGGGTCAGAAATAGGTACCCGAAATGGCACATGGACACATGGACTCAAACCCGCGGTCCATATCCCGGTCGTTTAATTTCGGACCCAGACCCATGGGTCGAGCGTCTGATTTGTCAGGTGATCCTGCGCGGCTTCGCGGGGCGCCCTGAGCTGGACGGTGCTCATGGCTGGATCCTGGACTACAGCCATGAGACGCCTGGCCGATACAGATTTCTCGGCGGCTCAAAGCGCTTGGGACCTCGAGTTTGGTGTCCGGTGACGTGACCGTGGAATCGTGTTTGCTTTTAAAGGTCCCCAGAGGTTTGGAGACAAAATTTGTATGTTCGTCGTTGGATGTCTTTAAACATCTTGTTGGGGAACTTCAAAGGGTTTTGTTCCTTTGTTTAAGGGGGGAAATTATGGCGGGAGCCTTGTTGATGTGCAGCAATCGAAGATGTGTTGCCGAGTTCCGCTCAAAAGTCTGCTCGCAGATGATCGTGATCCGAGGAGTGGGCTGTGTGAGGTGGATCTGGAGGCGCGGAGAGGGGTTTGTCAAAGAGCTGGCAGAGATCTCGTTCCCAAGTGAGCACTTCGAGTTCTCAAACTTCTCTGAAGTTTCAAGTGACAGTAATTCAGATTAATATGAATCTTTAAAAGGAAACCATTTAAAGTTTAGCCCAAGTAGTAATTCCCTGTCAAACTATTTCCTTCAAAGGGACCATTTCGAGGGACATTTCCTTTATCTCAGATTGGAGCCAGTTCCATGGCTCCGGACTCGAGGGCATGGAGATCCTGAAGAACGTGCCGGAGTTCTGCTTGGAGGAGGCGGAAATCTCGGCCGAGGCCCCGGCCATCATGGCTCCAGGCGGGAAGTTTGTCTGAACTGAGTTTGTAGCAACTGAGGAGATGACTATGAGAAGGGTGCATGAGAAGGGTGCATGAGAAGGGGCGCCCACCCAAAATCCTTAAAGCCAGGGGGACAGCCCCAATTTTTCCATCGCGAAAGCTGTGTGAGTTTAAGTCCGAGAATTGTTTTTTGCTTTTTTGTTTTCGGGACCTTTCACTTGTCAGGGCCTGCCGCCTTGGACACCAACTGGCTGGTGAACATGCGGGATCTCGAGAACAAAGTGGAGGCCAGCCGCCAGGAGCGCTACAAGCAGTTTGCAGCTTGGCACGGCAGCAGTTCCCAGGCGCCCTCAAGCATCAGCTTTTGAAGGCCGTTGCCTATGCCCTTCCCCGATTTCGGTGATTCGAATTCAGCGTGGCTTCGAGGCATTCTGATCACTAAGATTTGGGCCAACTGCAACGCTCTCTTGCGTTGGACGAGCTTTGCCAAGGCCAGTGCGGCAGTGAAGGAGGAGACGGAGAAAGCAGAACGCATCAAGGACAGCTGAGGGAAGCAGAAGTGCAGCAACTCCACACCGGCACCTGTAGCAGTCATAGAGCCCCAACAAAAGCATATCACCCGCTACTTTTGTCGTCCAACACTTTGGCGTGGTGGCAAAAATCAGCTGATGCTTGTGGGCTGTCTGCCAATGCATCCACTCACCTTACAACCTTGCATGCCCCGACCTTTGTCCGTTGAATGCGTGTCAGCTGTGCTGTCGGCGGGCACGACCCAGCCTTCCGAGCTCTGCGAGCGACAGCGTTGCCCCGAAGTCATCAAAGTGAACTTCTCGAGCGGCGTTTCCCTGCGTCGAACCGTGACTCCTGGGGGCAGCTTCCCTTGAAACCACCAGCAGTTTTCCTTGACACCCCCAGGCAGTTTTTTTGCAACCACCATAGAGGGCAACTTTTTTTCGGGATGTCTTGCTCAAAGCTCCGGTTTCGAACCACTATTCTTGGTGGTTCTCAGCTGTCCCCTTTGGCTCTTAGGTTTTGGGGGTTTAGTGGGGGTTTCCATTTAGCCCACTAAAAGTTAAGCCTTGAGCAGGGCATCTGAGGACAGCCCAGTTTTTTTTCTTTCCGAAAGGACACCTTGTCAACAACACAAAGACCTGCCAAATGCGAAGTCAGGAGTTCAAGGACGCTATCGTGTCCCTGTCACCGTATTTCGCTTCACAGTAGCCCCAGTTGCCAGGAGGCTCTGCGGGAGACCGCACCGGTGCGCGCGGACTTGGAGGGCCGGATGCGCATGGGCCTCCGCTGTGGCGATGGGGAGATGCGCCCTGGCCACGGTCAGAGGGACCTTTTTTGGAGGCTCCCTAGGAGAGAACCATGAGTGCGGGTAGGCGTCTCCCTCACCGGGAAGATAAAATATGGGAGAACTACGATGGCAGAAAATTGGGATGGGTTCCCGTGTTTGATTAACACATATGTGGGGGCTTCGACTGGCGAACTCTGGCAGCGAGGCGATGCACCATGCCTTTGTAAAGTTTTCGAGCCGTGGCGACAAAGTGCATTGCCGCCCGGGAAAGCGAGCGGGGGGTTGCCAAACGCCGAGGCTGCGGGAAGCGATCGCGGAGGCAAAGGAGCTGCTCAAGCAGCGCCTCGGCTTTCGGCTTTCGGTTGCCAGGCAAATGGCATCTTTTAGACGCGTGCGTCGCGTCTGGTTGACTCTTGCTTCAGGATCCCGAGGCCCAGGGGCAAGTGGCCCCCGGCTGCTTTTTTTTGTTTTTGTTTTAACGAGTGCTGCCTTTGTTTCTCCCCTTTCGCGGGGTTCCCCGGAGACAGCAAGACTTGGGGTTCTCTGCCGCTCTCTCCCTCTCTCCCTCTCCCCAGGAAGTATCTGGCGATTGCGCCGCCGGCCTCGCTCAGCTCCCTGCGACGGGCCACTTGAACTGCACTGGTACAGGACGAGAGCCATCTTGATGACAAGAACTGGAGTTCCCTCGATTTCAAATCGAGCCATGGCGAGCTGGGAGGAAAGATCTCTGAACTTTGTAGGTCCCGGAAAGCGGGCTGCTTCAACGGCCAGCCTCGCTCCGTGGCTTTGCCTTTGCGGTTCGCCAAGGTGATGGAAACGGCGGAGGCGCGGCTGGAGCAGTTTGATACCCTCAAGGAGCCGAGGGCCAGGGGAGCCGAGCCGGCAAACGCCCAAGGCCTGTTGGCTTCCCTTCTGAACCAGCGAAAAAAGGGCTCCCCCAAAAAATCCGACACGCCCACATGATCAAGCACTTTGCAGGAGTCGAGCTTGTTTTCGTCGCGGGTCCCAATGTTGCCTTTCAGGAGTCGCGGCAGCGTGCGGAGGCCTATGCGGAGCGTGTGCGCACGGGCCAGGCGCATGTCGCCGCCTTTCGACGCTCACCTTCCAAAGCTCCAAGTCTCTCGGATGGGGGACTCCCGGTGTCCAGGCGGCGGACTGGAAGATGACCTCCGCCGAGCTGACGAAGTTTGTGCGAGAGTGCAATCCGGAGCGCGTGCGCGCAGGACGCGCGAGAGTGAGAGCGCTTGGGAGCATGATTCTGACCTCCAGCAAGGAGAACCCACCAGCAGCTTCCCTTGAAACCACCAGGCAGTTTCCCTTGCAACCACCAGGCAGTTTCCCTTAAAACCACCAGCAGCTTCCCTTGAAACCAGGCAGTTTCCCTTGCCACCACCAGCAGTTTCCCTTGCGAACACCAAGCAGTTTCCCTTGCAACCACCAGGCAGTTTCCCTTAAAACCACCAGTTTCCCCTTGAAACCACCAGGCAGTTTCCCTTGCCACCACCAGCAGTTTCCCTTGCGAACACCAAGCAGTTTCCCTTGCAACCACCAGGCAGTTTCCCTTAAAACCACCAGCAGCTTCCCGTGAAACCAGGCAGTTTCCCTTGCCACCATCAGCAGTTTCCCTTGCGAACACCAAGCAGTTTCCCTTGCAACCACCAGGCAGTTTCCCTTAAAACCACCAGTTTCCCCTTGAAACCAGGCAGTTTCCCTTGCCACCACCAGCAGTTTCCCTTGCGAACACCAAGCAGTTTCCCTTGCAACCACCAGGCAGTTTCCCTTAAAACCACCAGCAGCTTCCCTTGAAACCAGGCAGTTTCCCTTGCCACCACCAGCAGTTTCCCTTGCGAACACCAAGCAGTGTCCCTTGCAACCACCAGGCAGTTTCCCTTAAAACCACCAGCAGCTTCCCTTGAAACCAGGCAGTTTCCCTTGCCACCACCAGCAGTTTCCCTTGCGAACACCAAGCAGCTTCCCTTGCAACCACCAGGCAGTTTCTCTTAAAACCACCAGCAGCTTCCCTTGAAACCAGGCAGTTTCCCTTGCCACCACCAGTAGTTTCCCCAGTTTCCCTATCCCCCCCCCCCCGAAAAAGAGAAAGCCTTCGCCGCCACGGCCCAAGATCAGTGGAAGCCGGCCTCCCATTCCCTCGCTCGTTTTCTTTTTTTTTCTCGATCCGCAGGCCTGAAGGCCCAGCTGCCGGTGTTCCTGCGCACCGAGGGCACGCGCTTCACCATCCTGCACGATGCCTGCCGGGAGGCCTGCCTGGATGTGCCTCAGCAAAGAAGCGAGCGAGCGAGCGAGCGGGCCATCGGCGGGCGAGCGGCAGAAAGGGCGCGGAGACCAAGGAGTGTCGTTTCTTTTTTGGGTGCAGCTTTGAGAGGGGTTCTCAACATTAGTTTCGGGGGGGTGGGAAACCGAATTTTGAGCCACAGTTTAGGGCGTCGTTTCGAGGGTGTCACTTTGATGGACCCAGTTCAGGTGTCGCCAAGAGAGGGAGCAAGATCGATTTCAAGGTCGTTTGGCAAAATCAGACGGCAAGCTACCTGCAAATTCCGGGGGTGACATGTTTTGGGCATAGAAGATATTGAGACCGCCTTGCAGAGGTGATGGCAGAGATGCATCGCGTGTTTTTTTTTTTCCCCCTGGGTGGTAGGGAGAAAATGATGCACATTTCTGTCATTCTAGCATGACGACAGCCAAAGCAGCATGGGTTCGTTGGCTGCCCAAGTTCCCTATGGCTGAAAGAGGTGTTTGTTTCTTTATGTTGACCTTTCTGGGCTGCTTTATGATTGACCTTTGGGGCTGTTTGCGTTATGGAACAAGCCTCCCCCTGTGTTACGCCAGCCTTTTTTTGCTGAGGAGCCCGGCAGCGAGCGCGCTGAGAACCGGGTGGAGGTGGTGCGGCTGCTATGCGAGGCTCGCGCCAACAAGAACGCCGTGGACATGTGCCCTGGAGGGAAAATCCAGAGGCGAGTGAGGTAAAACCTGCCTCAGGGAGAGTGTTTTGATGGCGCGTTAGGGGCCAAGGGAGATGTGACTAACAGTTCTATGTGTCGGCGTCAGTTCTTGGATGCTGTTTGCATTGTTGATTGTTGTTGTTCTTGCAGCCCGTGCTGCTACTATACAATAAGATCCAAGGGCATCTAGTGATGCAAAAACACAAAGATGCGATTTGATCAGGAGAGACATGCAGAGGCGCTTCGAGCTCTGATGCTGTAGCTTGCTTCTTTGGGGGAAGGAAAGAAGTCTATGCCTCCGCTTGGGCAGAAGCTATTAGCCCTTTTTCCTTCTGATCCTTCGTGGGACATCACCGTGCCCAAGGTGTGTGCCCTGCCCTGGCCCACATAGTATACCTCTGTCAAAGTCACCCTTTTAAGTGGCAGGTTCGAGGGAAACAACCCCGATTTCCGACTTTGATCACCCCCGGAAACAGTCAAAATCACGACCCCAGCCCACCCCAGCCTCTTCAGGAGCGTGTTGTGCTCGTGTCCGAGGCAAGATCGCACCCCGCTGGACTTGGCCTTGGCCGCGAGCTCAGTTCGAATCCAACTGGCGAGCTGTGGGGGGGAGAGCTCGGGGATTTCTTCCACCCGCAGCGCCAAAACCGGGCAAAAAGGCGCCCTCAACCATCCACCTCGCGAAGAATGTCAAAATCCTCCATGACTCAACCATCCACGCGAAGAGTTGCACAGGATTTTTTTTCAGGTTTTGCACAGCCAGACCGCGCAAGAGCTCTGTGACCTCAGGAGGTGGGCGGCCCGCGAGCGAAGCGCCACCCCTCGGTGAAGGCGCTGCGGGCGCTGGGACTCCGCACTGCCATGGAAGCCTCCAGGGAGCTCAGGGGGGAGCTGCTGCAGGCGGGGATCGATGGAATTGGACTTGGGTTCGAAATCGGGGCCGCGGAACCGCACTAGGGATGCCCCGTTCCAGGGATTCCCCGTTAAAAAAGACAATGAGTCTTTCTGCGATTGAGCAACAAAACTGAAACTGGCCAAATGGATCTTGGCCGCGCTTCGAGGAGGAGGAATCCGAGGTGACGGAGGACCCAGAGGAACCTCCGGAGGAGCTTTGCCCTCAGAGCTTGCGGACTGCAATTTTCATCCGGGCTGCGCACTAAGAAGCTCTTTCTGCTGATGGGCTTCGGGCAGTCTAGAAGAAAAATAGATACAGTAAGGCTCTTTTTACCGAGCCCACAGCTCGGGGTAGTCTGAAACGACGTACCGCACATGTTGTGTCTGCCAAGTCGACTCGCCTTTTCGCTTCGCCTCGAGATCAACCCATCTGCACCACTTCACTCCAAGGCCGCTCCTGGTGGATCTGCAGCCGGACTCTGCCGACGGCCCAGAAGATCGCCCGGACTCTCCGGAGGGGCCGAGGTCCTTCGCGCCCCCCGCGCCGGAGGTCGGCGCGGTGTGGGCTTGAGGAGGGTTCAAAAATCCACCTGGAGATGTGTGTTTTTTTTGTTGAGGGTGCCCTTTCGAGGTTGAAACTGAAAAAAGAAGGAACACTACAAGTGTCCGGGTGACCCTATTTTTAGTCATACCCGCTTTGTCTCTTTGGGAAGGAAGGAGACTGAGCCACGGCGAGTCAGAACAGGACATCCTGATATGGGTGTGCAGAAGCAGCGCCTGAGACTGTTGTTGGCTGTCTTAGTCAAGGCGCTGCTGCCCAGTTCAAGGATATTAACAATTGGGAATTGGAATTATATTAACTTTGAATAGGTGAATTTGGTAGAGCCAATGTCCAAGGTTTTGAGTGCTGACGCAGGAACAGGTTGATGGCAAAGATGAGAATAGACATCACACGAATCCAGCCCGTTGATTCGACTTGAGAGCGAGGGCAGCCGGGCTGAAGCCGACACGAACTAAGCCAAAGAGGACTCGCCCTGGGAATGTAACTTTCCGGAGGCCAAAACAAATTTCCGCAGGACCTTGCTGGTGACCTGTTTTCGTCTCTCGATCCATTCGGTTCAGAGGCCGCGATCTTGTCACATTCATTGACAGTCTAGTGTTTGTGTCGAAAGTGAGAGTCTGTCACTTTGAAGGTAAAGCAAAAGGAGGTTGTTTAAACAACGGCTGCTAAAGCATGCGTTGATTCGACTTGAGAGCAAGGGCAACCGGGCTGAAGTCGGTACAGGCTGAAGCCAAAAGAGGACTTGCCCTGGTAACTTTCCAGAGGACAAATATGTAGGCCACATGATGAGATATCCGAGAGGCATCTCCGCTGCAGCCGGATGCCGTGCACCCCGATGGCTGAGAGGTAGATGGAATCTGCCACAGCGCGTGGTGATCCCATGGAGAGTACATAGTGTAGGACAAACTCAATGGCCCGGCGGCAATTTTTTGACTTACCCTTGTCTCAGTTGTCGGCTTAAGCTATGTCGTTCCTGATGGTGTGCTTCGCCTCAGCGGATTGCAGCAGAAGGAATGCTGTTCCAGTGCTCCATGATGAACATATCATGTCGGGGAATGAGGCACATCAGGCGACGGACACATGAGGCCTTCGTTTCTGTCACCATGAACTCGGTTCGTGCCGAAGACGTTGAATTGCCGCGGGGATCGTTTCACATTGAATTCAGTCAGTTGGCCAACCAATTTCCAGTGTTTGTCAGCCAAATTGCCAGAGACTTAAACGCCTTTTGTTTTCTGAGCGCTCGGTTTGAGCCAACAGATTTGTAGTTTTGGCTGTGATCCCAAGGATTCCGCCACGGCGCCCGACACCAAAAGCACGGGGATTGCTCGGAACAGTTTGAGGTTCAGAGGTGAAAGGACATTCAGCTCGGATTGCGATTGCTGAGATCGTGTGAGCTGAAAGACACTTTGAGCAATCAAGATTGGCAGGGGCTTTCAGAAGTTATTTGCAGCAAGCGAGGAAAACTCACACTCTCTGCGCATGCAGCTGTCGGTGTGACACGCCGCCATCCTTGTTTTAGCTTGTTGCTGCACAGTATTCATTGGCGTCTTTCTCAAATCGAATCGGCCCCTGCATTTTCGTCGTGCTTCCTTGTGATGTCTCTTAACCAACCAAAAGTGGGTGCATTGTGAGAAAGAAACACCGGTATCTTTCTCGACATTGGCCCCTGAGAATTGCGAGTTTCCGTTTTGTTTTTTTTGTGTCCCTTGAACTGATGGTGCAACGAGGTTTGCGGCGCTCGAGCCCAAAGAACACATACTTGTTGCCGGAAGCAAGCACGCTTCACGCTTCAGCGAGGTCACACGATGCGGCCCTTGAGCTCGTGGCCCGGCTGAGCTAGGCGACGAGTTCTGGCGAGTGCAGCGTTTCAAGCGATCAGTCCATGTGGATGGATGGGAGCTCGGCAATGCTTGCCTTGCCAAGTACTTGGAGTAATGACTTGCAGGATGAGTCTGCCAGCCAGCGGAAGCGCATTTGCATTCAGATGCTGGCTGAATTCAACCAGAATGGCTTCCGATCCTGGCGCCGGCGCAGTCTCGACCTGCGTGCAAGTTCCGCGTTTTCCAGCAAGGCCTGAGGACGCACTAGAATGCATCAAAAACTTGGCTTTGTGTCCTGAGTCAATGGCGCGTGCACCCGGCCTTGGAGCGCAAATATCACATTGTTTGCAAGAGAGCCATCTCGTAGTCCAGCTGAGGTGGGATCTGCCGGCATAATGTTGACCCCACATGAATCAACCCCGGTGGATATAAGTCTGGGGGTGTTCCCCTCCAAAGTGGTCGGATTCCCCACCAAATCCAGGGACATCCCCCGATCTTTGAGCTCTCGCGCGCTGGCTCAGCGGTCGTTAGAACGTTGGACGTTCGAGTTGGGGGGGCGGCCGCTCCGGGCGTGGCTCAGCCTTCTTGCCCAAGGCTGAGACCGGGACGCTTGAGCTGACAGCTTGACTGGGAGTCGCGTTCGGGAGGACGCGGGAAGGATGGGCATGGCATATCCGGCTCGACGCTTCTTTTTGTGAACAAGGGGGATGCTGTGGGAATTGTGGGCCCCTGAAATCATGCGATGTGGTTGGACTGCACTCTGCAGTCTGCACCTGCGGCACACACAGATCTTAGGTTTGGCAGTTTGGAGCCCTGGAATCTCCACAGTTTCCGTGTCACTGCAATCGCCCACGCAGTTTTGCTGCTTGCCTAGCACCAAGTCCAAGGCTTCGCAGGAAGGATGTAGTCCCAAACATGCCCGCAGCTTCTTTTGAGCCATGTAAACCACAAGCCATGGAAGCAAGACAGAAGACCATGCCCGTGCTCGCAACTTCAGACAGGGTTTCCTTGACGTTTGCTTTGGAATGTTTAGACATCCTTGAACAGTGAGTTTGCCCTGGATGGGGTGATGCTTATGGTGGACAGCAGGCCTTGAGTAAGCCAACCGCAGAATGGACTCAGAGCATGTTCGCCCACCATCGCTGCCAAAGGGGCCACAAGCCAATTGGCCCCCTGGTTTCCCTTGATCTTCTTGGTCAAAGCAAAGCCAAGGGTGCCACTTCGCCCGCCGCGGATTTCGCACGCCCGCCCACGTCTCGATGTCGCCCCGCCATGGGCGGCTTTCTCGAAGCCGTGCCTTGTGGTGGCCCCTTCTGCCACTTCGCCTGCGAGGCGCTGGGACATTTTGGTCTTTCTCTCATGACCCTGTTGCACCCTTGAACGGGGGGTGTTGGTGGTTGGTGTCCCCTTCTAGTGGGGACTGATTTCCCACTTCTGGGAGGGGAAAAAACACCCCCTCTTCGTTCTTTGGATTTTGTTCATTTGGGCAGCGGAACCTCCGCTGCAGGAAGGCTGGAACCACAGCGTCCCGGAGCTGGTGCCGAACCTGACGCCCGTGGCCGTCGGAGAAGCCTGGGTGTACCCCATCGGCTTCGCCATCCCGGAGGACTCGGACGGACCTGAGTGTCAATGGGTTTCTGGCTGGTGTCCCTTGAAAACCCACGCAAAAACATGGTACCCCTAAAAAAACAAAACAAAAGGTACCCCTACAGAAGCACACACAAATGGTGGTAACCCCACAAAAAGACGCCCAAACGTAGTAAATGCAGGAATGCTGCGGATGGACCAAAAATCCTGCACCCGTCGGGTCGTTCGTCCTATTCAAAGCGTTTTTTTCCGTCTAGAACCTGTCTGAGCTGGGGTCTCGCATGTTTCCTGACCCCGCTGGCATGGAGGGGATCCTGGGTCCAAACCAAAGCAGTGCAATCAGTCAAACCTGCGCAATAATTTATCCATCCCATATCTTCATGAACTGTAAGCTCCGCAGCTGCAAATCCCCACGGTTTTCAATGATTTCTTTTGTCCGTTATTTCATTTCCTCAGCCCTCAATTGGTGGTTGGGATTGATGGTTTGGATGTGGATGAGTTTCCCCGGTTCTTGTGGGACACCACCCCCTTGCCTCCAAACCGCCGGGCTCCGCAAGCTGAATTCTGGCTCGCAGGAGCTGATGGTCCCGTGCCTTCCCAAGAAGTACTGGCCCTTCGCGGTCTCTGACGGCTCCGAGGGCCTGGCTTCGGTGTGGGAGTACCAATTCAAGTTCTACCAGGACACCCACTTTTGGTCGCTGTGAAGGAACGCCAAAAGGCAAGCGATTAAGCCACGATTTTGGGCGTTTCCGTAAAAAAAGAAAAATAATGGAGACACCCACTTTCCGTTGGCGAATCGTAGTCTAGCTACCAAATGTAGACGGTGTTGGAGTGGGGTGATTCTATTTGCTGTGCCAGCACCGCTGCAGTCTGAGATTTCACGCAACTTGATTTCGGTTCCAATGCTAGGAACGCGAGTATCACCGTCAGTACCGGCACGCATTCTTCGGCATCACCCGGAAGAAGCATTTGGGCTGCAGGTAAAGTGTGAGCTGGAGCTGAGTCGCGTTTTCTCCTTGCCAGTGAGTATTCTTGCTGGTGCTCAGTAGGGAATGTGGGCATGAACCCAAAGTCCCCTTACAGGAAACCACCAGTTGGATGGTTTTTCTAGGGGTCATTCCCTCATTCCCTGCTGAGTATCTTTTGGCGTTGTGGAAGCCGAGCGGGTTTGGAAGAGCAAAGCTCCTTTGCAGCAGGGCGGTCAGGATTTGAAGCTGCTACAAAAGAAAGCTGCCCTGAGTACATTTCAAGAGCCAGGGTGCATTGGGACCAACATCATGAGCGCCCAAGGTGGCACATGCAGATGAATCTACAAACTTGGTGGACCTTTTGGGTTGGTTTCGAGGGAACGCAAAGGGAAACCCCACCTGTCTTGAACGCACCATCCCCCCCTCCCCCCTCACATGAAAATCCCCCCCCCCAAAAAAAAAGAAGAAGAAGCAAACAGTAACTGCAGAGGTACGGCTACGACTGCCTGCGCCACTACGAGGTCATCGCCAACGGGGCGCTGCCGCTGTTTCTGGGCCTCGACGCCTTGGCGCGGGAGGCGGTGCCCTTTCTGCCCCGGGAGCTGCTGAGAGGCGCTTGGGAGCTGCTGGGGAACCAGAGCCTCAGGCGGCGAGTTGAGATCCGAGTTGAGTTCCTTCCCTTTTTGGCTTGCGGGTGCCAGCGGTGGGGTTAGAATAAGTTGGTACCGACTTTTTTGTGTGTCTATTTTAGTAGGGGAACCCTCCCCCAAAAAGGGGAGAGAAGGGCACTACTGGGGGACCTAGTCTGCGGGGAAGGAGAAATGGGATGAAGGTAGGGAGTTCCCTTAAAGAAGACGCCACGAGTTGGATGATGTTTGCAAGGGTGATGGTCATCCCATGTATCATTTTTCAGCCGATTTCGCGCCAGCAAGGTGCTTCGAAAAAGGCGGGCAGGTAGGCCCTCGAGAGTTTGATTGAGGGAAACCACTCCTGGGTTCTTGGACCAACCACTGTTGGGAGGTTCATTCCCAGATTCCCTAGTTTTTGCAGGTAAGCAAAAGGATACACCAGGTAGGAAGGGATGGCCAAACACGGCCCTTCGGCACGGATGCAGCCTTTTGCGCTTCCCTTTCGCTTTACGGGCTCGTTTTTCCCCTAAACCCTAAACCACTTTACTGGGGACGCTGAGTGGTTGGCCAGTGATTCACGGCCTGTCGCCTTGCGTTTTTCCCCCGCTTGCCAGGGCCAAGCGCTTGAGGATCGACACGGGCCGGTACTACGCCTTGCTGAAGAGCATGTTGGCCTACGCTCGGCGGCACCTGACCACCAAAGCTATGGCCAGGCCATGGGCTCGAAGACGGAGTTTCGGGATGTTCGGCGGCTGTCAAGGTTGAAATTGCTCGCTGAAGGGATAGCAAGGAACATTTCAGGGTGGGGGACCGCCCCCGCTCTGCTTCGCCGCCCAAAAAGCCTTTCTGCGCGTCTTTCGCGGCCTTTGCGTTTTTCGCGCTCGCTTCCCTGAGGTACGTGTTGGGCACCATGGGCTTTTCGGGCTGCCCCAAGATCTTGTTCCTCTCCGGGCGGATCGTCCCGGACTACCAGCGGGATCTGCTGCTGCACGGCCTCAAGACGCTCTGCGCTTCCCTCGGCGCGCGCGGAGCGGTGGTGGAGGTCCCCAGAGTGGACCATCTCTACGGCCCGGACCCCCGGAAGCGCCCGGACCCCAAGGGGGAGGACTGGCAGAAGCGGAAGGGCCGGCTGTACGGGAACGGGTTCACGTACGCCATGACCCTGGAGTTTGCGATGGGGCAGGTGGACCGCACGAGGATCAGGCAAAGAATCCTGGACCACGAGTTCGACCTGGTGATGTACGGCAGCGTGTATCGGGGCCAGGACTTCATGGATGAGGTGCAAGCGGCCTACTTGCCGAAGGAGATCGCTTTCATCGACGGAGAGGACTTGCATGGGGAGGACGCCATGAGGAGCTTTGCTCACGCAGGCTTCCACTTCCGCCGGGAGCTGGTGGTGCTGTGACACTGCGATCAGTGGCCAAAGATCGAAACGTCCTTCCCGTGCGAGAAAACAAGACGCACAGAATTCTCTCACCCGTTTCTTTGGCGTGCTGGGAGCGTAGGTCTCTTTTTGGTTGTTTTGGCAGAAAAATAGATGGCCCTGGTTTACTTGGTGGTTTAATCATCTACCAGGGCCATTTATTTCCCTAAAAGGACACCTATGGTTGGGAGCAGTGCAAGGGGGCCATCTCAAGACTCATGACCACCCCCAGGTTGTTGCCCGAAGATGTCCGGCGCACCACCTATGCCGATGGCTGGCAGCCCAGAATGCTTTGCTTCGGCTTTGAGTTGGCTCTGCCTCGTTGTTTTGCAAAGGTTTGTGTGTGTGTGTGTGTGTCAAAATGGCCAGGTGGTCGTTCATTTGGTTTCCCTTTGGTTCCAGCCTCATAGAGGGTACCCTCAAAACAACATAATGACCCAGCACCTGACTGTAGGTTGGTTTTAGGTTGGTTTTTAGGTTGGACATCAAAACAACCGATGCAGGTGCCACCGCCCCCGGGGCTGCCGCTGAACTTCCAGTCGCTGCCGCCTATGGGGTGCGCCCAAGGGGTGGCTCCTATCGATGTTTCCCCCCGCATGGGAAAAGTTAGCCCACGAATATTGATCAACGCATGTACCAAGCGCTTGGGGCCCTGTGTTTGTTCCTCTTTTTCACCAGATACTCATTGTAGACCGGTATTTCCACGGAGAAAACATTTTTACTTTTTGTAGGGGGTCCAAGATCCACACCCAGTACCTATCACAGAAACCTGAATCGACCCGCGGTGGTGCGCAAACGAGCTTTTGCTTGGCAGGCAACATCAGCAGCATCAGGGTCTGTGCTGAGCTTGGCCTGCGCAAACTGAGGAGATTGTGGGAGGCCTTGCAGCAACGCCAGGATCATTCAGTGTGGGAGCAGATTCATGAAAGAATGTCACGACTTGAGCCTGCCAGAACCCACGTGTAGAGACCCAACAGACCTCAAGACGCCGACCTTGCTAATTACGACCCTCCTGCAAAGGTTAGTAAGGGACAGTCCCAGCCAGAAATAGCTGCGGATATCCGCCTTCTTAATTCTATACATGGTTCTGGGGATCGACCATTTTAATACCGGGTTTTGATCATGACTCAATTCGCTGTGGGTCAAAACCATGGTACCATTCTGGGGTAGGTGCACCACCCATTTTAGTCTACTTTAGTGGGAATTGGGATGTTCACGGGTACGATTTGGCTCTTGACCCACTCAAATGAGATACCTACAAGTAGCGGCCCTCCCGAACCCAAGAAGCTCAGAGCTCGCCGCACCTAGGCGCCCGCCTCCGGGCGCACCACCCCCACCGCCCGGCGTGCGCCCTGGGAAAGGGGGGGTGCAAAAGCGGTTTTGGGGGATGAGAGGGAGGGAGTTTGTTTTTCTTCTTTTATTCCTCTACCATTTTTGTCCAAAGGTTCCCGAAGGATTTGCAGCACATGGTTTGCTCCCATTGGGCTCGGAATGCACAAATTCGGCGGTTGGGACGCGCAGATGGACCGTGGCTTGGCGTTCCAAGCGCCTGAGATCGGCGCGTTTCATGGCAGCGGTCTCAGGCCTGAACCTCTCCGGTCTGGGCCTACCGCCTCACATGACTGGACTGCCGCCTCCCGGAGGTCAGACCCCGAGACGATGCGGCTCGCAAGTTCACCATGAGCACAATGCCACAGGTTGTAGGAGCGTTTAAATAACTGTTGGGTTAGAGCAGATTCGAGCATCCGGGTTTTTGCCGACAAGGGTTCGAACATCCCGGTTTTTGTCGACAAGTGAAAGAATACAGTCGTCGTCATACTGGCCAAGCGTCATCGTTGGGAAGCCTGCATGGGCATCTCGTGAAGACAGTGGCAAGTGAACGTGCTCCTGCAGGCTTGTGCAGGTAGAACGGGCAACGCTCACAGAACAGAGAACATGTGCGAGTGCCACATGGATGATCCGTGCCGGGCTACATGTCTTGGTCTCAAAACTCGGGTTCGCACCCTCAAAGCCGGGTGGAAAAGTTCCTTTTGGTGTCCTTCAAAAAAGTTCCTCCCAACGCCCGGGCCAAGCAGATCCCCCGAAGGGGGACAGAGCCGCCGTGCGTTGGCAGTCAGGTCTTGGCCCTGGGCTGATCCCAGGCCTGGGAGTCCGTCCGCCGCCTTCGATTCGATTCGGCGGGGGGGGGTTCCGCGGCCGGCGGGTCGCCGGTGGCGGGGAACCCGCGGACGGCCGACCAATTTTTGGGGGCGGGAGGGGGGGGGGGCCAAATCAAAGGTCATGTTTGTTCATTCCCTGGACCTGGCCTTTTTTTGTCAAACTAAAGGGAAGATTGGTACTTTTTTCCCGCGGGTTTCGATGTCTTGCCAGGCCTCGACTTCACGCAGCCCGGCACAGCTCCCTCGGCGCAGGCTGGACTGCTTGCGGGGATCCCAAGGCGGAAGCCATCGCGATGGCGATTCGGGCTGGCAGCCCGAATCGCGATGCGGCACCGGCGAGGTGTTTGAGCTCCGTTCGGATGTTTGGGTTGGTTGGACCACTCATGGTCTATTTTGCTTCGTCGTGTCGATGAGCTCCTCTTTTCGGTCTGCGCTTTCTCGCTTTCGATGTGCGACCCGGGTGCTGCGAGGCGCCTCCTCCCCCAGGGATGAGCAATGCTGCCGCGCAAGCCGCGGCCGTGGCGCGGCGGAGATTTTTCGATAGGAGAAGCAGGAGATAGTTTGGGTTGGAAGCGCCACTAAAACGACCTGATTCCATGTCCCCAGGATCCGATTGAGTCATTGAGCCGGTCGCAGGTCGGGTTTTTTTGGATCAAAGATGCTTGGATCTTGGGCGTGTTCTCCGATCTTGGGTAGCAAAGCAGACACTGGAGGCTTCTCGACCTTTGTGCATTCCGAGTTGGATTCCATAGATTCACTTCACCATTAAAAAGACACACACACACAGAGAAGAAACCGATTGTTCATGGTTTCCTTTTGGTTTCCCTTACCGACTAAATCAGGGTTCCCCAGTTTGAGAAACCCAACAGCTCGCCCCTTCTAGTGAGGCTGCCCAGGCGGCAATCCAGAGTGCGCAGCAAAAGGCCAGGGGGACGTTTTCAGTCATTTGGGTGTCTTGTGGAGGGCGTCTTTTTCAGGTTGGTTTAAAGAGAAACCAACAGGAAACCCGCCATCCATTTTGGAGGTCCCTGTTTTGACACCTCGTGTCGAGCTTTCCATCGGCAATCCCCCCGTTGAACCGATAGGCGGCAAGTGAGCAAGAGCAGCAGAAGGCCCAGCAAGCGGCGATGGAGGCTCAAACGCAGGTGCTGGGCTGAGCTGCGAGAGGTGAGCGTTTTGGGCTAAGTCCGAGGCCACGCTGTCTGCATGGAGCCTCTGTGTTTGCAGCTGCAGCTTCAGATTTGCGGATTGACATGGGAGACAAACCATTTGTAGGCACAGAGGTCCAGGCGACCCAGTGACATTCCCAGCTACCATTGAAGCCAGACTTGATAGCCGACACAACCCTGTTTGAACTCCTAATGTCAGGCCGGCTTGGCTTTTCGGCAAGACTGCATCTTTCGAGCCTCGTCTTTGCGTTTTTCCCTTTCTCTGGCACCAAAAGTCACACGACAGGAAATCGCATTGGGAGTCCTTCCGGTTTGCCGGGAGCCGATCCCACCCAACCGGAGAGTCTGTCAGCGGCGCCATGCTGCGCCTTTCCCTGCCGCGCCGGGCGCGGCTGGAAGACTTGCACAGGCCAGGGCGCGCTGCTCAAGGGCTTCGTTGGAGAATGGGTTTCAACTTGCGCCAGACCACGATCATGTGCTAGCCATCCCATCCTAGGTGTTTTTTTGTTCAGTATCTGGGCTGACATTTGGGTCTGTCTTGTTTTGAGTTTTGGTCTGCGTTAGACGGAAAGCCGTGCTTTGGCTCGGAGGTTGCTGCTGAAGAGCTGCGACCTGCGGCCAGTGCCGGCGGCAGCATGGCGCAGCCAGGTGCAGGCGGAGATGCTGGCTTGAAGATTTTAACATAGTCCCCGTGGAAGTGGAAGACCTCCCACCAAACTGGGTGTGTCCGCTTTTTTTGAGGGTGCCCATTTGATGCTGTTGTTTAAGGAAACCAAAGGAGAACCTCCCATTCCTGGGTCCTGAACGCTAGGACTGGTCGCAGCTGACGCAGCAAGCAGAGCTGGTGGCGGCCTGGCCGACGCATCCCTTCGCGCCGAGGGAACGACTGCAGCTGGCTGAGGCCTTGGTGCAACAAGGCGCAGGCGGGCTCGCTGAACGACGTGTCCTCAAGGAGAATTCATGCCAGGCCACCTTTTTTGTGGTGGCTTCATAGGGAAGCCAAAAGGGATAGCAACCAGGTATAGAGGGACCCCGTTTTAAGCAGCCAACCATCAGTTTGCAAGGAAGACCCACATCAATACGGAATTATGTAGTATAGATAAATGGCTGTGGGTCAAAACCAATGGTACCATTTTGGGGTAGGTGCACCACCCATTTTAGTCTATTTAGTGGGATTGGGATGTTCACTGGGGGTACGGGATGTTGACCATGGCCAAATATCGATGTTCTGGATTCTTCAGCCTCTTCGCCTCTTCTCGAAATTGGTTGCACAACAGCGGCCCGCATTCGCCCAAAAAAGCCACTGGCTGGTGCCCAATTTGCCCCTGCTACCTCAGACCAGCTGCCGCATTTGCTGAGTTGTCACATGCCACATGAGATTCGGTCGAATCCTTCGACTCTCTCTCTCTCTCTCTCTCTCTCTCTCTCTCTCTCTCAAGTTCCCACCAAAAAGCCGTGGACTCTCTAATCTCCCCCAATGTCCGTGGCTTCGCGGATGTCCTGGCATGTCACGTGGCTGGCGCAAAAAAAAGGAATCTCCAAAATGGCACCGTAATTGGGAAAAAGACCACCTGCGGCTTGCCCTGGCTCTTTCATTTTCTTGGTTCTCAGAAGTCAGAAGGGAATGACCCATGGTGGGAATGAACCTTGAGGATTGTTTTCAAGGAAGCCATGGATGGTCAAAAGGTCCGTGATACATGGGGTGACCATAGGGAACCCGCCAAAAAAGATGTCTTTCACTAGATGGGAAACGCTACCCATGGTCATTCTGCCCTAAACGGAGTTTTGCTCAACCCTCCCCTGCCACGAGCCTCGCTCATTCCGCCCTAAACCGAATATGGATCAACCTGGCTGTGGGTTAAAACCAATGGTACCACCATTTTGGGGTAGGTGAATTCACCACCCATTTTGGAACCAACTTTAGTGGTTGGATTGGGATGTTCACTGGGGGTACGATTTGGCTTTTGACCCATGGCCACTTGCCGCTGGAGGCGTGCTGCAGTTGGCCCCAGAGCTCTGCGGCCAGCGGCTCTGCGACTTCTACGGCGCCTTCTGCGACGATCCGCGCGGCCTGGCGCCGCGCCCGGCGGCGGTGGCGCCGGCGCTGGTGGCTCTGAGCCTCGGCTTCGGTGCTGCGCTTCGGGGTGTGTCTCTCTTTTGGGGGGCACGGCCCAAAGATGGTGGGTGTTCCTTGTGGTTTCCCTGCAGGACCAACCAAAAAGGGCACACTCAACAGAAAACAAAAACACTCCTTTTAATGGCTTCCTTTTCTTTCAACCCATTTTCTCTTCTCCCGGCGTCCCCATGCCAGCGCTCCGGCTCCGGCCAGGACGGCGGCGGAGGGCCTGGGCCCGGCGCTGCACGAGGCCGTGGCGCTGCTGCTGGGCGGCCGCGCCGTGGCGCTGGGCGCCGCGGGCGCGGATCTCGAGGCGCTGCAGGCCGCGGTGGCAGGCGGGCCGCAGGGGCCCAAGGGACGCGAGCGAGGGAGTAGCGAGCAGCTGGGTGCGGGTCGAAAAGTATATGGCCCGGGAAGACCGAATGGAATTTTGGGAAATGGGAAACAAGGACTAAGACCTGCAGTTTTGTGGTGGTTGAATTTTGACCCACGCCCAGCTGGCGCTCGTCGACGTGTTGTTTGTGACCTTTTTTTTTTAATTTCCCCAACCGCTGAAAAGCTAAGGGGTCTCAGCCCAGATGCGGTTGGGGGCGGCTCGGGGGAGCTCTGGAGTCAGGCTTGAGCAAGGTTCGGGAGGTTCTAGGGTGGTCTAGTGCAGGCCAGGTGCAAGGTTCAAGGAAGTTTCCGGAGGCTCCGGGGTTCAAGGAAGGTTCAGGGTCGCGCAGGGTTCTGCGATGAGGAAAGGTTCCATGGGCTGCGCCGCGTGCTGTTGGGGATATCGCAAGGGCTTATTTTGAGATGTGTGCTCCCAGTGTTCTTTGGTTTCGGCAAAAGAAAGGCCGAGGTTCTGTAAAAGAGACACACCGAGATGGCAACGTTTCCTTCTTGTGTCCAAGAAGTATCAAGGTGGTTGCCTGCCCACCGCCCTCCCGCGCGCCCGCGACCCGCAGGCCTCCCGCCGGCGCTGCTGCGCGCGGTGCCGCTGGGCCCCTTGGCCACGCTGCCGCGGCTGCGGTCCTTCCGTGCCCTGGGGCCGCGGCCCGAGGAGCTCTGGGCGGAGAGGCGCAGCGCTGGAGGGGCCGGTGGCTCCTCCCTCTTCGGCTGGGCTTTGAAGGGGGGGGGGTAAATATCTTTTGGGGGCGGTCTGGGACCTTTCCAATCACCGGGAAATTCTAACACTCTACTTTCAAGCCGAGAGAGTTGCATGCTGTTGTTGCCTTCCTTTCCCCGGCTTGATTTTACGATGCGCGGTCTTACTCCCTACAAGTGAACAAGGCTTGCCCAAGAAAGGGGCCTGATTCCCAGAAGGAGATTCCGATCCCAAAACAGGGTGTTCTTTTTTGGCAAAGCCATGTCAATTTGTAGTCTTGGGAATTAACCGGGTTGCTCGGTGTGTTTCCTTTTGCTTCCCCTTTCGAAGTCATCCTAAGGCTGCCATCAACACAAGACCAACCACTCCCTTCCCATTTGGGCGTGGGAAGAAAAATCCAACCACAAAACCGCAGGTGTTAGTGTTCGTTTCCATTTACCAGGGCCATGCGGTTTTATCAGGGTACCCTCACTCCCACTAACATGCCGCCTGACAGGGGTACAAGAGGGAATCCCAGGTGCCCTCCCATAGGTGCTCTGTTAGTGGAAGGGAGGGCGCATATTTTTGTTGACCCACACCCAGCTGATTATTTTTTTTCTTCAGGCCCCCGCCCGGGGACTTCGGCGGCCGGGGCGGTGTGCGGCACGGCATGGCCGCCGCCGAGGGCCTGGCGCTGGCCGAAGCCGCGGCGGCCGCGCCCTCCGAGGCGTCCGCGGCGGCAAGTGGCTGGAGACGCTCGGCGCGGGCTCGCGCACCGCCCCCCCCCCCCCCCCCCGCAAAAAAGAAAGAGGAAACAAACAACATGGTGGGCTTTTGTTTTTGGTTGTGCCTTTTTAAGCCACGAAGAAGGGGTAGCCCCAATAGAAGGAATTACATCCTTGTAATGACGTGTCAGGTTTGGTGTGCTTGAAAAGCCCAGTAGGTTTGGTTTCTTAGGGATGCCTTGTCTTCAGTGCGTAAATGATAATAATTTGCCCGGGTGGGTCAATGTTGTTTTCCCCTTGGTTGCCACCCCTTTTTGGTCGCTGGCGCGGAAGCCGCCTCCAGTGAAAACCGAGGATTCAGGACGCCATTGATTTTGATTGGAGGTGTCCCTTTGCAGAGGGAAACCTTCACTTGGGGAATCAGCCTCCATCAAACCACAGGGTTTGATGTTGACGCTGGGCAGCACTCGCGGCTCTCAAACCAAAGGACATGGCGAAAGAGAAATGGCAAAGGGCATCGTGCTTTTCCACTCACGGGGCCTTTTTATCGGAACGACAATTGGGTATGCCGTAGTGCAACTGTTAATTTTGCAGCTATCCAAGAATCCAAGACGGACGCTTCCCTTCACAAACAGCAGGGGCACCTGGCCTATGGGTTGCCTACAGGCCAGCCTTTACACATATTTACGCCAATCCTGTGGGGTGATTTCTCGGAGTGGGATCTGATTTAGGTGAGGAGGCCAAGATGCTTGCGGCGCTGCTGCCCAAGCCGATCCCGGAGGGCGAGTTGGAGGAGATGCGGCGGTTCCTGGCGCTGCTGTGGGGCTTCAGGCGCGGAAACTCGTTTCGTGCCGGTGCCACGGGAGTCGGCGAAAAGGGCGAAAAGAAAAGCCGCTTTTTGGGGGGGTCTGCGATCTGGAGTGCTGGTTTCCACGCGACTTTGGCGGGTCAAAGCTTTCTGAGATGCAGTGAGCGGTCGAGTGGCGGATGGGCGGTTTTGGAGCGACTTCGGTTTGCCCACTGGCTTTTGCCTCGCTTTTCTCTCGGAGAGACTTGCAATCCGCGC